CTCCCGACCAAATATTTGGTCGGTAGAAATAAAGAAAGGTCGGTGGCTTCGTGCCACGGCCGGTGGGTTTGAAGGATGGCTAACAAGCCACTTCCTACCCTCAGGTGCAAAAATTACAAGTCCTTGGTCTACAACCAAGCACAAAACAGTCAAGTCGAGAGAATCTAAGGCAAGGCGCGCAGCCGAGTCCTTCGGGATCTCGAAACGAACACGAACATGGATGATCACCGAGTGTTCAAAAGATGACGTCCAAGTCTTGAGGACGGTAAAAAATGGGGTGTCTACAAAAACAAAACATTTTCAATGTTTAAGTATGTAATAATGTTCAATGCAAAATGGATGAATTAATGATTAGTTTTAATTCACCTAATTCTCGTGTAATTTCTACAACAATCATGGTTATCCTCCACCGATAACCCAATACAGTTATTTCTAGACAGATATTCAGTCTCAAACATATAGTTTATTCAAAACTTCTAAGAGAACGAGTTAATACATAACCAATCCCACCATTCATATTAATACCCTCTCAATTTCACATTTTCAATGTCAACTTCAATTATTTACACCAAATAATAGTTTGATCTAATTAGGGCAAACTCTCTAATTTTTCCCAAATATTTGCCAAGTGCCAGAATCATCAAATTAGACATAACACAACATCATTTTCAAACCCCACAAGCATTTATTTCACCTTCACCCAAAACCCCTATTTCCATTTTATGCCCAAACCCTAGGTTTGTTTAAAACATCTCTAAATCACACCATTGTTACGCAAGAGACAAATAACTAAGCTAAATATCATATGAAGGTGTAGAAAGATCCCTACCTCAAAGGAAGAAGATGAGCCAAGCAAGAGTGAGACTCCAAGAACGACGAAACCCACTTATATTCGGTTCAAAATGAAGATCTTGACGAGCTCTACCTTTTTCTCAAAGGCACTCGAGTGGAAATCCCAATGGATCTAGATGAGATCTTAGAAAGAATGTGAATTTTAGAGAGAGAGGCTCAAGAACAAGCTTTTGGGAAAGTTTTAGAAAGAGAGATAGAGAAAAGAAAAAGTGATTCAAAATGTCATCTTCTCGGACTGTTATACACGCAGTTCGCTCGAGAGTAGAAAGCCCCGCTCAAGCGTCAGACACAAGGTTTCCGCTCGAGCGTGAGACTGGATGCTTGAGTGTCCAATGCACACTTTCAGCATTTACAGACCTGCAAAAAGAAATACCGATAGTTAACAAATCCCGTTCGAGCGTAAGAATTGCCGCTCGAGTGAAGGAGCAAAATTTGTGAAGCCCGCTCGAGCACAAGAATGCCTGCTCGAGTGGAAGAGCCAAAATCTGGACATCACAGGTTTGGAAAAACACACAACCAACCTGTTCCAAACACATAATTATAACCCGATAACCAAAATAAATGGGAGAAAAGGGGAACAAGACATGAATAACCATTCTAAACCATACCAACCCGAGTTCGGAATACAATAGATAACGGGTCAAAACCAGGATCGCTATACGGCTCGTTTGCAGCCCTATCTTCTAGTAAACTCTTCCTATCGCTAGCAGTCTTTCCTACCATCGATGACCTCCCTTCCGGCGACCTCCCCATTGCAAACCTCATTCTCTTCTTATGCGCAATTGCTATTGTAACGACGAACAAGATAGCAATGGTGACTTCATTTCTCCATCACCAAACACCACTGTCACATATCACTATCTCCACCTAGACTCATCTCTCTCTCTTGCGTACAATCGCCACTGTAGCGGCGGTTAAGGCACGATCACAACGGTAACTTCGCTTCTCCATCTCCAACCACCACCGTCACCCATTGCCATCTCCACTCAACTTCATATATCTCTCTTTATCTCTCTCTCACGCTCGCGATTACAGCAGCGGCTAGGGTACGATCGCAATGGCGACTTCGACTTCCAACGTATCTAGATCTCTCTCACAATCTATTTCTATGTTTATCTCGTGATCTCTCTCTTCGTCTCTCTCATCGGAGCATGAGAAAGGTTGAAGGGAGTCGAAGATGGGTGGCAGAAGGTAAGGGAAAAGGAATGGTGACGGCCGGAGGTAATGGTGGCTGCTTGAGGTGAAGAGAATAACTGGTGGGGTGGGGATTAAGGTTAGGATTCGGGAAATTAGGATTAGGGATGAGGACAAAAATGAAATTTTATGTTTGGACAAAATTGGAATAAAAATAAATAAATAAAAGAGATGGGAAATTATATTTCCACACATTTAATTGCCTCAATGAACATATTCTCTCAGTACACACACTTATTAATTAATTTTCTCAATCCACACACTAAAAGTTACAATTATACCCTTCACTCATAATCATTGTACACACACCACTCAACCCTCATTTCCACACACTTGTTGAGTGATCATGCTTCCAGATTTGTAGACCCATTGTAAAGCCACGTGAAGACCATTTAAGACTACAGTGTGAAGTGAAGTGAAGACAAAGTTCTCCATTGAAGACTTCTATTGAAGACTCTATTGAACCTCCATTAAAAATACCATTGAAAACCCTCCAAAATATTGTTGAAGATGAAGTATCTTTCCATTTTGTTATTCTATTTACCATTTTTAGATCTCTGTGCACTCCATTGCCATAAAACTCCTTTTTATTTTTCTTTTTTAAAAATTTTTTTTTATGTTTTTCGGTTTGGGAATTTCGGCACTAGTTTTTGGAAATTATACATTTAATTCGAAAACTTAACTTCCGAATAAAAATGATTAGTTCGACAAATTTATTCCGAAAAAAAATAAAAAAATGTTCAGCAGTTGATGCCCGAATATAATGAAATAATTTGGCACTGGTTGTCCCACTGAAAACAACAAAAGGGGGAAAAAAAAAAACTATGCACAAAAAAACTAATATTTTCATCACTAATATAGTATAAATATAGAGATTAAAATAATATGAGAATTGTTATGAGAGTATTACTTTGCAAGCAATAGAAGAGTATAGAGTGTGTAGCAAGCAAAGTGACAACAATGGAAAAATTAGGGTTTAATTTTTTTTACTCAAAAGGTATTGAGATTTTTTTATTTTATTTTTAAAAGATGTGTACATAGAATATTTTCATATAATATTATGGGAGCTCGTAGATGTCCATCATGGTCATTTTAATTTAGAGTATAATTGTTATTAAAATAATATTTTATTAAGTATGTGCATTGAGGTAATTAGGTGTGTGAAAATAGAATTTTTCAAAAGAGGTGGGAGCTCTAAGAAAAAAACTAAGAATAAATAATAACCCTCTAATATTATTAACATTTAACTGTTGGTATAATACAATATTCAATTTAAGATGCTTTTAGGCTTTGTTACCAAGATTTTACAATTTAGGATTCATGCAAAAATTGATATGAATTTATGAATAACCATATTTTGAGATATAATTGACCGTTAATTGCATGGTTTTTAATATGTTTTACATTTCAATTCACGTTTTACATTTTGTTGGAACTAACAAATTTGGACTTATTTTTATCTCCTTCTTCTTCTCTTCTTCTTCCACTTCTTTTTTTTTGGGTGAAATGTCATAATACAACTTTTTATGAATGTTTAATATGAAAATAATCAATATCTAAGTATGATTTGTAATTATTTTGATAGTTTGAGTGTTTAATAGGATCCAATCAAATCCACAAGCATTAACTTATTATTTACTTTTTATTTTTTTACTTAGAAAATTATCAAAATACATATTTGACTATAACAACATGCAATAGTTAATTATCTATTACTATTTTGATAAAATAAACATGGCTCCAATCACATTCAACAAATTATTTTTTTTAAATGTGCTATATTATAAAATAAACGGTTCCTACTAATTTTTTTTCTTATTAGAAATTCCAAGTCCACTTTTCCAATGTCAAACAAGAATATATTATAATTTTGAAATAATAATTTTATAACTAGTGAGTTATGAACTCACATTTCTTGCTATGAAAACAATAATATCTTTCCAATTGAAGAGATTCGTGTTCATATATAATACCTTTGTACAATCATACTTTAATTTATGAAAGCTTGGTTGATTATATATACATACATACATATAAACTGCAGTCCATATAGTTTTTTTTTTTTTTTTTTTACTCAATAAATATTAGTGAATTAATAAATTAGATTAACATCAATAGATATTGAACTCTTCTCAAGAGTTCATTCAACTTGTAACTGCACAATAATTTGAATAGAATGATATGATTGAATTGTGATCCTATCACTTAAAAATAAAAAACTTATCAAGATTATTGTTAATTGCGAAAACACCATAGCTACATCATTCTTATGATAAATTATGTATAATTTTTTTTTGTAGAAATAACCTTTTTTTTCTGTCATTGTTGTCACCATTATCCCAATCACGACTATTCTACATTCTACCATGACCACCATCATTACCATAGCAATTTCAAGATCATAGCCAATCACAGTAACACAATTTATACCAAAAAAAACATTTTTTTAAATCTCTAGAAAAAATATTTTTGCTCGAAACAAACAGAAAGATAGGGTGCAAAACCAACCATGATGTAAATTGAAACAACAAGAAAGTTCTATTATATATTAATTAACAAATTTTAGAACATATGTTTATTCAAAGAGCACCAATGTTCTTGAGGCCAAGAACAACCCCAACACCAATAATGTGACCAAAAGAGCCACAAGCCAAGGTATCTGCAAGGGTGAAACCAGCAGGGTCACCAGTTTGAAGGCCAGACTCCCTTATCTCAAGCTTCAACCCTGCTGTGGCTTTCCTGTTTGCTGATGGAGCCAACCCAAACCGACCCGCAAACAGCATCAAGCTTGTTGAAAACACCATTATCTGTCCACAATAACAAAATCAATTTTAACATTCTCCTCATCAATTGTGTTCTATGAGTGTTTTTGAAAAGCAGTTATGAAGAAGAATGGCATGCAAAAGGCATACTTTGATACTATTTTTACTAGAATAGTCCCGTGAGGGTTACAAATCAATTGAATTGTTTATAAACAGTTCAAGCTCGACTTGTTTACTTATAAACGCCAGATTTTGTTAACAAGTACAATACAATGAATCCCACAAATGTGCAAATTTTTTTTTAAAACAATTTTCTCAATTGAGTTCTGAAAGGGTGTTTTCGAAAGCAGTTTTCAAGAAGAATGGCATAAGTGAAAACATGTTTTATGTTTTCTGTAAACAGAACCCTGAAAACTGAAAACTGAAAACATTGTCAAACGCTACCTAAGTAAATAAATGACATTTTTGTTAGCATGACCCAAGTGTGATAATTTAATTTGATTTTCAATTTTAGAAACAAAAACCATTTTTGTGAAGTGGATACCAAATTTGTGGGGGAGCCGATGAAATCGCAGCGAGCGCCTAAAGCTCCCTTCCCCCTACGTCTCATTGGTTGAACTGCTACCTGCAATATTGCAAGAAGATGCTTAAGCTCATAGAGAGAGAGAGAGAGAGAGAGAGTACTAATTTATGCAATAGAGTATTTTGGATCTCAATAATAGTCATTCTTATTTCATTTCATTCCAATCAACTAAACATAAGACAAGACTTTAAATATTGAATTTGTAAACAAAAAGAAAAAAGAAAAAAGAAAAATAGGAAAACAATAAAGAAACAAATTTTAAATTTATTTTGTTCTCATTTTCCTAATCTAACCAAAAATAGAAAAAAAATTGAGTTCATGTACTCATTTTCTTTTTCCCTTTCTTTTTATTTTCTCATTACAAATTCAAGATTCAAGCTAAACCAAGTGAAAGAGAAAAGGTAACACTGACCAGGGTTTGAATTGGTGAAGCAGATGATGATGATTTGGGTCTTAGCCCACTGAACTGTGGGAGAGAGGTCATCACTGCTGTTGCCATCTCCTCAACTTCAAACACTGATCAAATTTGAAAAAAAAAATGAATGATAGATCTCTCTCTCTCTCTGCTGATATTTTTACAGTTCTTGCTTTAATTTGATTTAAATGGATTATAAAACTGTTGGCAGCTCTGTAGCTCAGCCACATGAAGAGTTTGTGGCTTCAAAATGCCAGTGTTTGGATACACTTAGATACTTGTTTGCTGATGTGGCACTCCTATATTGGGTAGTTAGCCTCGAATGGATAAGATTTGGATTTGTGAGAATATTTGCTTTGGATTGATGGGGATGTTATGTGTTTGTGCTGCTAATAAACAGGTATAGGTATGGCTACTGGGAAATTATTTCTGAAATATTATGTGATATTTTTTTTCGCGGTATTTTTAATTAATAAAAAATTACAATACATAATTAGTGTTGTTTAATCCAAATGATTATTCAAAATGGATATGGCTTTCCACTAGTTGGAAAAAAGTTCGGGTATTGTTGAGCTTATGAGACCTGAAATTATTTATTTTCTTGAATTTTTATATATAAATCATTTAGAAAAAAAAATATAAATCAACTTGATCCGATACTCACAACTAAATAATTTCATTATATTTGTTTAAAAATAAATAAATAAAATGAACAAGAGTTGTAAGTTTGAAATGGATTGTCCATTTTTTATAGACAAATCTAATAAAATTATGTGATTATGATTATTAAATTGAGTTGAATTTAATTTTTTTTAATAAATGATCTATATGTAATGACCTAAAACATAAACAATTCATGATAACACAAAGATGAAAATTATTATTATTTTGTTTATATAATTATTTAAAAATATTAATTTTAATTATTTTTTATACAAACGAAGCAGCGGAATAAATTTTGAATTCTCTTGATTTTACAACCCAGAGAATCTAACGAACATACGGCTTATAAAACCTCCCTCATAATGAAGATCTCATATTCAACCTTTTTTTAAGTAGCTCTCATAATTTATAAATTATTATCAATAATAAATCATATTATTATTATTTTTCATTTGCCATGCCCCGCTCAGTGTACAAAGCAGAGTTTTTTTTTTTTTGTTAAATATTCTTTAAAAAAAACAATTTAGAGAATTGACCTACTTCTCAAATTATTTAAAAAATCACATTTTGAAAATGAGATTTTAAAATTGAAATTGTATTTTTAACATATGACTTGAAATTGAAATTGAAATTGAAATTACATTTTCAACATGTAATTTCACCTGAAATCGCATGTTGAAAATGCAATTTATAATGACATGAATTTCACTTTTTAAAATTGTATTTTCAACATACAATTTCAAGGTGAAATTACATGTTAAAAATACAATTTCAATTTCAAAATCGCATTTTTCCAAAACCAAGTTAGTTTCCCAAATAATTTTAAAAGTGAATCAATTCTCTAAATTATTATTATTTTTTTTAGAAAATGAAAAAAAAAAAAACTCGTTCAGAGCAATTAAAAAACAATCACCATGTTTGATTTCAATTTTTAAAATTCACTTTTTTTTAAATTTACTTTTTCATTTTTTTGTATTTTTTTATTTTCACTGAATTTTTTAATATTTTAAGCAATTTTTTATTTTTATTTTTTAAACACACTTAACATAAATACACTTATAAAATATAATATTTGTAAAATTTTTTAAAAAATCACTAAATATCAAAAATGTAAAAATTCAATATAATTTTCATATTTTTGGGTATTTTTTAATTTTTTAAAATATTTTTTTTACAAATATTTTATTATTTAGATGCATCTAATTAAAATACATATAATTTTTTTTTTAAAATTACTTAAAATTTAAAAAATATTCACTAAAAACAAAAAAATACAAAAAACACAATTTTTAAAAAACTGAATTCTAAAAATTAAAATCCCAAATGAAGTAGCTCTCAACTTGACCTACTTATATAAACCAGATGAATATATCATTTTCTACTTGCATAAATATTTCATAAAATTGAAAAAACAGATTTTCATTGAAAAATATTTTCCCTTTTCCGAGTGTAAAATAAAACTTTTGATTTGTTAGGGAACCAAACCAACACATAAAATCATGATCCAGAGACTTATTTATATATTTATATAACACACTGCTACGTAGCTCAAATTTGAGCTTGGCCCGTATGACTCGAAATTCATCTTACCGGTCGTCTAGCCAGTCATCCGGCTAGGTGTCCGTTGAGAAGGCTAACAGCTGTGATCGACAAAGTGACAATCGCGGTAGACAAGTGTTTCATCCGGTCATCGGAATGATCATTCGGCTGATTGTCCAGTAAACATCGATTCGGACCATTCAACCCCATCCCTCCTCGAGCTAAAAGGCATTTTTCTTTATATAAACCAGAAGAATATTATTTGTTTCACAACAAGAACCAAAGTCCAACTAAACACATCATGATGATATCTTTCTACAGAAACAGAGGCAGACAAAACCAAAACATGAAAAGTCATATGAAAATATAACTAGAGAGACATAGCAGTCATAAACAAACCCCCCACCCCCCCTTACGGACAAAAGCTACAACATAAGTCGGATAATAAGAGCCAGACCTAACCCACTTTATGTTTTAGCCATCCTATCAATCGATCTCCACCTGCAAAACACAGACAATCTCATCAATGAAGCTTGATGATATTCAAATTTGTGCACTAAAATGGTGTCCTAATAATAGGTTTAAATAACATCGTAAAATGTTATGAACCTCAAAAATTGATAAAAGGATGTAGAGTACATACCCTGGGCTTTTCAACCCAACAGAGGATTAGTAGTCATCAAAAAACAGCTCTCCATAGTCGGAATAATCACTGCCGCCGCCTGAGAATTCATAATCATTGTCAACGTCAGACAAGAAGTCGATCTCAGAAAACCCAGATGGGTACTCATCATCAAATGAATCCTCATCATCATCACAAACAGTTGTATCAAACTCATAGTCATCGGTGGGATCGTACGGACGCTGAAGAACTTTGACCCGTTCAGAACATCTTTTCCCAAAAGGTCCTACAAGATGAACATTGAAACACTGCCGCAGGTCCAGGGATTCAAGGTGGGGACAGCCGTTGAGAATAGCCTGCAACCCATCATTCGTCATCTTATTTCCAAAGAGCTGAAGATCATGTAATCCAGGCATGGTTTCTCCGATAACCACCGCAACCTCATCATCACACCCCACGTATGAGGACCTGGACCCTCGATCATTAAATTTCAGAGATTTCAGACGAGGGCAGCAACGCCCAACAGTCTCAAGGGACACTTTTGAAAGTGGGCTCAAATAAATGTGAAGCTCCTCCAATAATGGTAGTTTTTTAGCAGCTTCACTCAAACCCTCATCTGAAATCTCAGAGCAACACGCAAGTCGAAGACGTCTCAGCTGACTCGCTCTGTCAACAGGGTACAAAACAAAGTGACAGAAAAACATCAGCAAATACATAGGAACATGAACTTGGTCTATCCACGTGCCTTCATATAATGATAAGAATTTCAAAATCTTTTGAATTTGCATTGATGACTTAAAAAAGTACATTGAATAGTGAATTATTAGGCCCAGAAACCAATCAAGCCCTGAATGCAAAGTTTGAACAAGTCTTGTAGAACTAGTTTGGTGATGAGATTGATTAAAATTCAGTTAAGTGAAGCTCAAGCAGCATAACAGCCAGTCATCATGACTCTGCTTGGCAGTTGGCACCAACTTCTTTAACCCAGGTACTGACCAACATGTGCACCAAGTTCCATTTCCTCAACATTGGCGAGGGCAACTTTGGCTAGCCCAAAAGATGATGATTATGACAATGATGTAGCTGTGGCCTTTGGTGGGTGGCAATGGATTAGTGGTGATTAGAGAAGAAGAACAAAATGAGATGAATGCATTAATAAATTATTGGGGCACTTCTGGAGCAATTTGTATTAGAGCACTACTGAGTGCAGAGCAATATTCGGACCTTATCTCTAGCAGCATTGTTAAGAATACATTAATATATTAAATTGGAGTAGCCCTTGTCTCAGGCAGTAGAACACCTCATCTCAGGCATTCTTTCCTTATTCTTTTTTTCGCCTTTTGTGCTTTGTATATTCATGTTCTCCTGTGTATAGAATAATATATAATGAAAGCCTGTTTTCTTCTATAACAGAGAAAAGAAAAGAGAGCAAAATAAATTGAGGAAGATGAAGATGTAGTTGTGGCCATTGGTGGGTGCCGATGGTTTACTGGTGATGAGTTCTAGTGGATTGTGGTAATAATATGAAGGTAGTGGTCAAGTGGCAAAAACAACGGAGGTTGATGATCCTAGAATCTATACAAATATATATATATATATGTTACTAATGGAAAAGCAATTTTCAACTCCACTAGAGCAATGTATAACCGCTCAAAACATTAAATATGTGTACCTTGGTTTGCCATCTTTGTCCAAGAAATAATCAAGCATGTGAGTAAAATGGACATTCTAGTGAGGATAGAGAAGCTAGCAATATTGTGTTTACCTCCTTAATGGCCGCTTAACAGGACGGAGAATTAGTAATGTGATTGCAAATTATAGGGAGGAGGATGTAATTTTCACAACAAGAAGGAATCAAATATTATTAGTCAAATATTATGCGACATTAATGTAATTTTCCTTAAATCTTCATGTAGAATTTTCACTAATTATGACCTGAGGAGAAGATCAAACTGAGTCCTCAAATGGTTATCTTCTACAATGGAAAAGAGAAAGGATGGACAAATACCCACAAGCATACAATACCATATAAGTACAATTTATTTTAGACATTCTGTCCATTTAATCACCTATCAAATGAAGGTTACAACGAAGTGTAGTAAATAAAATTCAAAAAGATTCAAATTGAACATCACCTATAAGTGATATATAAACTAAAGAATGCCATGCAGAAAAAATGTCCAAATCAGTAGCATTCAATAACAGAAACAAACTTATCATTTTCCAGAAATTAAATCAACAAATATGAATCAAGATTTAGATATACTATTTCTTTCCTGTATTAGGGTCATCATCACTTGATGCAATGCTACAGACTTGTTCAAGTCTATGAGAAACCACCTCATGGACATAAAACCAGGAGTTTTAAAATTTGCCAAATTTTTAACAAATTTCCTCTGAAACCCAAATTGGAAAATATATTCTAATTCAAGTTAGATAAACTAAGACCAGCATCCATAAAATATAAGTACATACGGAATGGTTGAAGACACAATCTTTTTGAGACAGACCCTATTTACTTCGTAATGGTCTTAGCTTGACATTTTCAAGCTGTACTATCTACCTAGAATACAAAACACCTAGCAGGAAGTTCAGAATACAAGAAAATTTCAGTAAAATAAAAAGAGGAGTCAGAACTCAAAAGGAAGGGCTACTTAATTATGTTTTCCACAAAATTTGACCCAAAAAGTTGTCTGCATTCTGGATAAATTATAATTTGGAGTGAATATTCATCCAAAGATTTCCCAAAAAAAGGGATTCAGGCAGGGCTTCTGAATGGACCAAAAACCCTCCATTATAAATTGTTGACATGTATGGTGTGCCCAATCTACAGCTCCCAGCACCACAGATGACATGACCAACTCTTATTAATCCTCATTTATTTTGGGTTCACATCTATTACATATATTATCTACATAAAAAAGAAGAAGAAGCTATTATTACAGTTAAGTGCCAAGATAATTGACATTAACAAGAGACATGTTATGGCTCAGTTGATGGCTCAGTTTTGAGTTGAATCCTTCACATTCTAAAAACTAAACTGATAATCAGAATTTCCAATACTATTCATTTTCCTTCATTGTATATGTTACCATCTTGGAGTGTAAAACGAAGTAACATGCATACCATTCAAACAATTCAACACAAATTTGTAAAAACAAGCAATATACTTTTGGAGAATCATTATTTCACAACTAATAAAAACATAAAAAATCAATGTTCAACTCTTATTAATCCTCATTTATTTTGGGTTCACATCTATTACATATATTATCTACATAAAAAAGAAGAAGAAGCTATTATTACAGTTAAGTGCCAAGATAATTGACATTAACAAGAGACATGTTATGGCTCAGTTGATGGCTCAGTTTTGAGTTGAATCCTTCACATTCTAAAAACTAAACTGATAATCAGAATTTCCAATACCATTCATTTTCCTTCATTGTATATGTTACCATCTTGGAGTGTAAAACGAAGTAACATGCAAACCATTCAAACAATTCAACACAAATTTGTAAAAACAAGCAACATACTTTTGGAGAATCATTATTTCACAACTAATAAAAACATAAAAAATCAATGTTAATCAGTGATATAGATGTTTTGCCTCGATTTAGTTGCAAATCACATTTTATTTTAAGCTAAGAAAATAAAAAATCTAATTCATAATTCTTCTACTTTATTATATATATATATATATTGATAAATAAACAAACTTTATTGAGAAAGCATCAATACGATGCAAAAGAATACAAAAAAACCTCAATACGGGAAGACACTAACAACGCCTAACCAATTACATCATCTAAAAAAATAAACAAATTCAGATCCACACTCCTCTCCAATCAACCATATTTTATTTTCTTCATTTCCCAATGACATTAATTGTGTGTGCAAATTATTTTTTGCCTAAACCAAAGTAGAAAATTAATTTATGACAGCAACTCAAACCATTAAACGCCCTGCCCCCAAGGGTCTGCACCACCCCTAATGCCTCTGGACCAGTATAAAAGGTTCTAAAAAAAACATTGTGATAACCCGTGGTCAGCAAAAGCAGTCAATTGTCAACGGCTCCTAGAATATGGTATTGGATCGAAAGGCCCAACGAATTGGGGACATGCACACATCTTGGGCATCTTGTTGTTCTATGTTCTATAGATTTGTGAGTTCCTATTGAGAGTGAAGATATTATACATAATGTGAATATTCCCATATTCATTTTTATACCTAACAAATGCATGATAATTGATAACAAAGAAAATAAAGCAATGAAATAATGCGTCTTTAATTATAAAAATTCACTCTATAAAACTTTTTTTTTTCTTTTTTTTTTTAAATTCAATCACAACCGAATATGCCCGAACCCTAAAATATTCTATCCACTCATCACATATCCTCAACATCCACACAACATTTAACCACTAAATAAAAACTAACTACATAGATTTATCATCATCAATGAAGCCAAAACACATAATAATTCAAAATTGACATATATATGAAATTATACCGATCGGCCAAGTACTGAAGGAGTTCATCGGTGACGAAATACTCGAGATTGATGTCTACAAGTTCTCCACAGCTTCGATCGATGGCATGCCTAGCCATCTTCTCGAGATTGTAGGGCATGCTCCATAGGTCTCCGAGATTGCGCATGTCGATGGACCTCCACATTGCTGGGTCTTTGCAGATGTTACGCCAAGTCATACACACTTTCTGAGCACTCTCGAGTATGTGAATCGCACCGAGCTTGTGAAGAATCATCGCCATCACGTCTCGAGGAAGCTCCACCCAGTTACGAGTCTCGTTCGCCTCCAACTGTGGCGGCGAAGAACTCGAGGAGGACGCCATTGATTTGGGAAAATTTTCCTGGAAAATTTGTCAGAATCTTTCGAGGAAGAGTGTTGCTTTGGGCACCTGTGTTGTTTAGGGTTTTGGTTTGGGGAGGAAAATGAAATGGGGATATACAAATTTCACCGACGTTTTTTGTTACTACTGCATATTTATGATTAAAAAAATAAAAATAAAAATAAATTTTAAATAAACCTTCTCAAGGTTACTTAAATAATACAATCATAAAATAAGTATCATTAAAAATTTTAATAAAGATGTCCATTTTTAGATTAGTTTGTAATCTTTTAGGTATGTAGTGCAATACCTTTTGAATTAGTTTTATAAAAAAAAAATTATGATATTTTTTCATAATGCGTAACATTACTCTTACTTAAAATATAAATTATTCAGTCTCATTTGGAAACATGTTATTTTAGTAATTTTTTATTTTTTTGGCTAAAATATGAAATAAAAAAATTTGTATGTTTGAAATAATTTTTTAATTTTTTACGAAAATATATGTAAAAAATGGAGAGAAAAAAGAATCCTTAACTTTTTAATATATATTATAAACTTTTTAATTTTTTTAGTAACTTTTTAATTTTTAAGCTAAAAGTGTTGCACGCCAAACGAGGTGTGATTTTAAAAATTACATTCCGCTCCCTCAAGGTTTTAATCACATAACAAACGAAACTTTTATTAGAGGTGTAACTCGAGTAGGTTGATTGAGAGGTTGTCCAATACTAGCTCGAATTGTGTTGAGAACTACTCAGGTCTACCTAAATTCGAATTGTAACCCAAGGTAGGATCCTCTAGAGTGAGTTTTTGGATGGCTGAAATTTAATTTTACTAAAGTTGAGGATACAATAATCATTTCACCTTCAACTCTCAAAGCCTAATATTATCATTTTACCATCATTCTATGAAAAATCACTGTAGAAGATACTGGCTCATCTATCCAAGCTTGGTCTGAATTGTTCAAGTTGTCTGAATTGCACATAAATTTAAAAAGAAATAAAAATTGGTACAACTAAATTAATTAATTCATTAAAATTAAACTCTATCAATTTTTTTAAATCGTTAATAATATCAAATAAAATAATTTATATAATGTGAGAAAAATCATAACTGAAAGTTTTGTACTATGTTATTTGTGTATATAATTTATTTTCAATATAATCTAACGAAATAAATACCATATTTTCAAAATAAAAAATAAGAAAAATGTTTTAAACCCCCTTTTCCTCTCACCCCTTTGACCCCTTTCCCTCCCATCGACCAGTTTTTCTTTTTTTTTTTTCTTTTTTTCTTTTTCCTTCTCTTCCAATCACCAACCGCCACGTGTGTGGGGGGTGATGGGGGTAGTGATTGGAGGGGGTCTCTATCAATGTTAAAAAAATAATTACAAATGTTAGAATCAATTTTAGCAAAATACCATATTTTCCCTTTAATCCCTCTAATTGTCCTCTTTCCTCTCAACACTTCACCAGCCACCCTCTGCCTACCACTCCTCCACCTTCTCAATCCCTCACTCCCCTACCTCCACCACCTCTAACAACTCCCCTTCCTTTTCTTGTAATCCCACACCACTCTCAATCTCACCCCATTCGACAAATTTTAGTCATCACAACTATCCAATCTTTCCCTTCTTCTTTTAGGTTGTATTTAATTCATAAATTCAGAAAAGAATTTAAAAATAGAAAAAAAAAGGCGAGTAAAATATGAATGTAATGTAATTATATTTCACATACATTTTTTGTTTTTTTTTTCAAATCTCTCTCAAAATTTATAAACTAAACACAACCTTAAAATGTTTTTTTTTTTTATTTATATAATTCGACTTGAAAAAATTATAAAAATACCAATTCTTTATATATAGATCATACTTTGACAATTTTCGTTGGCTTGTCGTGAGCCTTGGCCTTGGGTGTGGGTGTTATTGCCCAAATCATGATGCATGTGCTGAAGCACTAATAGACAACATTGTGCATTTGTCATGATGTACCAATCTCAATTTTCTTTGGCTCGGGCTCTGATGGTTGGGTATACTTCTTTATTAGGGTGTAGGATTTAATTGATTTGTTAAAGAATTTTAATTTAACTTGATTTAGGTATAATATATTTTTATATATTATATTTGAGGAGACCCAATTCAATTTGAAAATAACTAAGATTTGATAATAAACCCTAAATCCACAATATTATTTTCCCAAGAAAAAAAAAGGAGGTTTTGGTTTACTTTTCCCGTGGGTGTGCGTGCGGCTACAAGGCTACAAAATTGATTTTCGGTGGGCTTTTGTTCCTGGAGCATTGTTTGAAGTTTTTGTTAACAACTTCCGCATTGAAGAAGGTAATTTGGGTTAATTAATTTGGATCTTCTTCAATTTTGATTCTGAAGATTTTGGTTCATCTATTTGGTGAGGTCTTTCTTCTTATTTATTTGTGATTATTTGGAATTCACCTAAAGGTGGTTTTATGAGACCATTAGTGTCTCGTTTGTAATTGTTTGGAATCGGATTTCGATCCCGTGGACGTACCTCACATTGAGGGAACCACGTAAAAATTCTTGTGTTGCCTTTGATTTAATTTTTCCGCATTAATTTTTATTCCCATTGATTGATTTACTTGTGGGAAATCACACATATTTTCCCTAACAACTGGTATCAGAGCTTACGATTTATTTGGATTTATATATTTGTGTAAATCAATGGAGGGGAATGTGGGTCGTATGTCTAGCTTCAATGGAAGTAATTGGGTAACTTGAAAAACTAAAATGGAGGACCTATTATTTTGTAAAGATTTGTATGGATCCATTGAGGGTGATAGTGGCAAACACGAGGGTATGAAAGATGATGAATGGAATAGGCTTAATCGAAAGGCCATTGGTGTTATCCGTCAATGGATTGATGACAGTGTGTTTCATCATGTTGCTACTGAAACTTCGGCATATGATTTATGGAAAAAATTAGAGGGCCTTTATGACAGAAAATCAGCCGGTTCTTCTTATTCGGAAACATTTGTTGTGAGAGGCCGAAGCAAAACAAGGGGGAGGAGTAAGACTCCTCATGGTCGTGATCAAAGCCGTGACAAGTCAAGAGATGGCTGATGGCTCTTTTTCAAAGAAAGACGTTGAGTGTTATTATTGCCATGAGAAAGGGCACATGAAGCGAGAATGTCGAAAGCTCAAGAATAAGTAGAAAAGACGTGACAAAAGTGTGGACAAGAAGCAAGAAGACACAACGGCAGTTACTACCAATGGTGATCTCATGGTCGTTTGTGAAGATGATTGTATCAATTTTGTGGGCCAAGAGAGCAATTGGATGATTGATTCCGGTGCTTATTTTCATGTGACTTCTCAAGTTGATTTCTTCACTACCTATACCGAATGAGATTATGGTTCTGTTCGAATGGGTAATGAAGGTTTGTCCAAGATTATTGGTATGGGTGATGTTTGCTTGGAAACAAATTTGGGCTGCAAGTTGTTGCTTAAAGATGTGAGGCATGTTCCCGACATTCGCCTCAATTTGATCTCTACCGGGAAGTTAGATGATGAAGGCTTCAACAACAAATTTGGTGATGGAATATGGAAGCTCACAAAGGGTTCCTTGGTGGTGGCTAAGTGTAAGAAGACTCATACACTTTATTCGATGCAAGGAAAAATTTGTAAAGGTGTTGTCAATGCACTTGAAGAAGATACTTCTACTGAATTATGGCACAAGCGGCTCGGCCATATGAGTGAAAAGGGGCTGCAAGTATTGTTCAAGAAAGAGCTTCTACCCGGTTTGAAAGGTACACATCTTAAAACTTGTGTTCATTGTTTGGCGGGTAAACAACATAGAGTTTCTTTTCATAAAAATGTTGCTTCTAGAAAAGAAAATGTTTTGGAGTTGATTCACTCGGATGTTTGTGGTCCTTTAAAAGTTAGAACACATAGTGGTGCACTTTATTTTGTTACAATGGTGGTGAATACATTGGGCCATTTGATGAGTATTGTCGCAGCCAAGGTATTCGGCATCAAAAGACAGTTAAGAAGACTCCTCAATAAAATGGAGTTGTCGAGAGGATGAACCGCACCATTATGAAAAGAACAAGGTGCTTGCTTTCACAAGCTAAATTGCCAAGATCCTTTTGGGGTGAGGCATTGAAGACAGCAGTTGACGTGATCAATTTGTCTCCTTCCTATCCTTTGAATGGTGATGTTCCAGAAAGAGTTTGGACCGGCAAAGATGTGTCTTATGAGCACTTGAGAGTGTTTGGTTCTCGAGCCTTTGTTCACATTCCAAAAGATGAGAGGTCCAAGCTTGATAGCAAGTCAAGACAATGTATTTTTCTTGGCTATAGGCGTGATGAATTTGGTTATAGATTGTGGGATCCGGTCGACAAGAAAGTCATTCGAAACCGTGATGTTGTGTTTCTTGAAGACCAAATAATTGAAGACTTTGGCAAAGGTGATCAACCGGAGCAAAAAACTAGTGATCTCATTGACATGGATTCATCTCCTTCAGATGATGAAAATGGGGGAGATGTGCAGCCACCTATTGAAGATATAGAGGATGATGCTAATTCTAATGAAGTTGAGACAGAAATTGAGAAAGAGCATCCAACTCAAGAACCACCACCACAACTTGAGTTGAGGAAATCTACAAGGGACCGACAACCTTCAAGAAAGTATCCTCCTAATGAATTTGTGTTGATTTCTGATCAAGGGGAGCCTGAGAGCTACCAAGAAGCAATTGAGCATGCAAAGAAAGGTGATTGGAAAAAGGCCATGGAAGAGGAGATGAATTCCTTAGTTGAAAATCACACTTATGATTTAGTGAAATTGCCTAAAGGGAGGAAAATTCTGAAAAATAAGTGGGTCTTCAAATTGAAGAATGATGGCAAGAATCTGAGGTACAAGGCACGTCTTGTTGTGAAAGGCTTTGGGCAAAAGAAAGGTATTGATTTTGATGAAATTTTCTCACCGGTTGTAAAGATGTCTTCTATTCGGGTTGTACTTGGCATGGCTGCAAGTATGAACCTTGAAGTTGAGCAACTTGATGTGAAGACCGCATTTCTTCATGGTGATCTTGACGAAGAAATTTACATGGAGCAACCGGAAGGCTTTGTGGAAAAAAGGAAAGAGAAATTTGTTTTCAAATTGAAGAAAAGTTTGTATGGTCTCAAGCAAGCCCCGCGGCAATGGTACAAAAAATTTGACTCTTTCATGATAAATAATGGTTTTTCTAAAACTACTTCGGACCATTATGTGTTTGTGAAAAAAATTTCGGATGGCAAATTTATTATTATTTTGCTTTATGTTGATGACATGTTAATTGTGGGTCAAGATTCTACCATGATAAACAGGTTGAAATTGGAGTTAAGCAAGTCTTTTGCTATGAAAGATTTGGGACCGGCAAAGCAAATTCTCGATATGAAAATTGTTCGTGATCGCAAAGAGGGGCTGATTTGGTTGTCTCAAGAAAGCTACATTGAGAAAGTGCTTGAGAGGTTCAACATGGATAAAGCAAAGCCGGTTGGTTGTCCACTAGCGGGTCACTTCAAGCTTAGTTCGAATCAATGTCCTACAAGTGAGAAAGACAAAGAAGAGATGTTGAAAGTTCCTTATGCTTCAGCAATTGGTTCTTTGATGTACGCCATGGTTTGTACAAGGCCAGATATTGCTCACGCAGTTGGTGTGGTGAGGTCATTTCTCTATCTAATCGGGAAAGATAAATTGGGCGGTAATAATGGATATAAGTAATCTTCGAGGAGCTTCGAAGTGTGTTTGTGTTTTGGGGATGGTAGCCGATGCTGATGGGTTTCACAGATCTAATGGCCCGGTGATATTGATTCAGGAAATTACTCTCGGGTATTTGAATGACTTTTGCATGGGGCTATTGTGGCTGGCAATATCTAAATACAAAAATGTGTGCTCTCTCAACTACCGAATGCTGAATTATTGCTATTAAGAAGCTTGTAAGAAGCAGTTATGGGTTTGAAGAAATTTTGCAAGAGTTGGGTTTAGAAGCAAGAAAAGTAAGTGCTTTATTGTGATAGTCAAAGTTTATTCACTTGAGTAAAATCTTATTTTTCTTCGAGATCGAAACACATTGATGTGAATAACATGTCGGATGTGTATGTGTTAGATTGAAGTTTATTACAACTCGAAAGGTTCCACAGATGATAACTTTTCAGATTGTTGACAAAAGACTTTGTCGAGGGATAAACATTTAAAAGTGTCGAACCTTTGGCGGGTATGGGTTGATGTTCTCCACTAGTCGGATAGGCGGAAATTGTTGGGTATACCTCCTTATTGGAGTGTGGGACCCAATTGGTTTGTTAAAGAATTTTAATTTAACTTGGTTTAGGTATAATATATTTTTATATATTATATTTGAGGAGACCCAATCCAATTTGGAAATAACTAAGGTTTGATAATAAACCCTAAATCCACAATATTGTTTTCCCAAGGAAAAAATGAGGTTTTGGTTTACTTTTCCCGTGGGTGTGTGTGCGGCTGCAAGGCTACAAAATTGATTTTCGGTGGGCTTTTGTTCCTGGAGGATTGTTTGAAGTTTTTGTTAACAACTTCCGCATTGAAGAAGGTAATTTGGGTTAATTATTTTGGATCTTCTTCAACTTTGGTTATGAAGATTTTGATTCATCTATTTGGTGAGGTCTTTCCTCTTGTTTATTTGTGATTATTTGGAATTCACCTAAGGGTGATTTTGTGAGACCATTAGTGTCTTGTTTGTAATCGTTTGAAACTTATTTGGTTGATAGTGGAATCGGATTTCGATCCCGTGGACGTACCTCACATTGAGGGAACCACGTAAAAATTCTTGTGTTGCCTTTGATTTAATTTTTTCGCATTAATTATTATTCCCATTGATTGATTTACTTGTGGGGAATCACACATATTTTCCCTAACACTGATGCATATTATGAATGGTCTTTGTAATTTGTCAAGTTTATATCATTTCTATCATTATAAACATATAATATATCAGTGTATCATGTGAAAACTAATTTCAATAAATTTTGTAAGCTTAAAAATCTAAAAATACCAGTGACTTGTTGAATCACCCTAGAATAAAATTTTAAGCCACCCAATTGCCCCAAACAATGTAGAGTCCATGTTAAGAAAAGGCAGTCTACATACCACTTAAAAATTTAATTAAAAAATAAATAAAATAATAAAAAATAAATTTTGAAAAGAAAGAAAGAGAGAAGAGAGTGATCACATGTAGTACACGCGTAAGGTGCATAATTGATTGAACCCCATGCATGTGGATGTGTGAGAAGTGAAATGAATATTTGATTTGTATAGGGTGGAACATGAGTGCCACACCTCTGTGTGTCTTCAAAAAGTCTAAGCAACAACCAACCAATCAAAAAGTCAAACCATCCTCTATAATTGCGGGAATTTAACTAACATCAACCGACCATTCTCTCAATTAACCAAACAAAATCAAACTTGCATACAAAAGAGTTGAAGAAGAAGAAGAAAAAAGAAAAAAAAAAAAGAGAGACAGAGAAAAAGAGAGACTGCTAATGCAAATCTCTCTTTTTTGGATCTCTCAAACATATTAAAACATTTTATTTATTTTTTAATTATTAAAATTAGTCTTAAACTTTCTTCTCAATTCAACATCTTCTGTGGTCTCTTCTTCATACAGTTTTTGTAGCTCCCATTTCTTGGACTTCATCTTGGAAATTTTCCCACTGATTTCTTGGGAAAATATGCATAGGATTCGAACACATTCATCTCCCGAATTAGTTCCTTCTTCAATGGACAACAACCAACATGATGATTCGAGTTTAGAAGGTGAATTATCCCCCCTCCTACATGTTTTCTTTTCTTTTCTTTTGATGCTTCAGAAAATTCTATCAATGCTATAATTGAACAAGGCTCCCCTGTTTGGTTGTGCTCTTGTTTTTGTTTTTTGTGTTTTAGAAAACAAAACAATGAGAAATTTGAAAGCTCTTGTTTTCAATCTATCAAAAATTAAAGACAACTTTTTAGTATTTCCTAAAAAAAGAGGTGTTTTCAGAAGGGAGAAAAAAACATTTAAAAAAAAAAAAATAGTTTGCCAAATGAGTTTTCTGTGTTTTCAAAAAATGAAAACATAAAACAGAACAAAAACGCAAAACAGGATGGAATGCTAACTTAGAGAAAACAATCAATCAATCCTTCGCTTTGATGTCTAAAACATATCAAGTTTGTTATGTTCCAAACATGAGATTACAGAAACAAATTAATCCAAAACCCTTACACCAAAAGTACTTCCAAAAACAGTTTTGATTCCGTTTCTTCGTTTTAGGTGTCGCTGCAACTGTCAAATTGCTGCTAAAGCTAGTCCAAGACCACAAAGAAGCATGCGTGAAAGAGCAAAACAGCAGCCAAAGAATGCTGAGGGTGGCTGGAATGATGACAATCCTCGAGAACATTAGAACGCGGATTCAAAATTGTCAATCTTTTGGGAAAAAAAAGGAAGCCGAGCTTAGGCGTTGCAACACTGATCTTAGGCCTAGCCATGTCCCGAGGGACAAAAGGCCAACTGAGCCCATTGATGAGAAAGAGAAGCTAAGAAGAGAGCTAACTGGGAGTCTAGCAGCGCGAAAGAGCCTTGAAGTCATGTGTTCAAGCTTGGGAAAGGAGAGAGAGATTATGACAGCGGAGTTGGCGCGAAAGGTTCACGAATGCAATGAAATGGAGGAACTTGTCAACGACCTTAGGGCCCAAAACAAGACGTTGTTGGCGAAAGTACAAGAGTATGCTGCAGAGCACAAAGAGAAGAAGCCTAGCAGTGGAGGAGATGTACAAGCGAACGCAGCACTCCAAGAACGAAACAATGAGCTCTCAGAGAAGCTCTTGAGGTCTCTTGATGGGTACAGATCTGCGAAGAGGAGGCTAAGAGAAGCACAAGAGGAAAACGCAACAATGCGTGCCACAATGGAGGAAATGGGGATTGAGGTCGGAGATAGCTTGGAGAGGATTCGAGGATTCCAGCAGCGAATGGCAATAGGGAGTGACCAACCGGTGGATATTGAGGAAGAGATATCAGAATTGGAGCACATGTTTGAATCCTTTGAAATGAAGGTTTTGAAACATGGTCAAACGAAAGGGGATTGTGTTAAACCGAAAGGCGAGATCAGTGCATGCAAGCCTTCTGTCCTAGCATGAGAAGAAAGGCCAACTTAGAACCACATGTTTTCCATTTAGATGGAGAAAACACAATTTGTTTTCTAGGGCCGAGCTTGCCTCCAGTTCAGATCCAATCCGAGCACTGCATGCACGCTTGCCACGTCGGTATTTGTTGTAAATTGGTGGTTTAGATTTTGTCCACCTACTTAAAAACCCAAACCCAATATTACATCTGAACAAAAAAATGCAACCCAAGATTTAATGGGTTAATGGGCAGACAAAATCCAAATATTTACGAAAAAATACCGAGGTGGCACAAATTTGTTAATCGGACTGTTCTCTCCAGTCCAAGAGATTGGAGAGAATCCATCCTCTATTTCTAAATTATGGAATAATAAATAAAAGGGAGTCAGTTGTAAAATGTTCAAAATGTGTGATTAGTAAATGTTGTACACAGTTCAATTAATATTGATTGGCTCAGTTTCTTACTTTCCCTGTTTTGTTGGCAGCCAAAAAGAGTTAATGAGAATGTTGTACGCTGTTCTTTAATCTCTTGTTTTCACGTTAAAGTTTTCCACAACCTTAATATTGTCCTTCAATCTTTCAATATTACCATGGTACATGTATAAGTTGAACCAAACACAAACAATAGCAAGAAGAAACAATCACAAAAAAGAAAATATGGCACGAAAATTTATGCTGTTTAACAAAATTATCTACGTTCACATCTCACTAGTTCCAATATACTGAAAGAAAATAGTAGTACAATGCAACTACTATATAAACAACAATATATATCAGGATTTACATCAAATTTCACATAATGAAATGTACAATACTAATCAGGGTCCACAAATTCAACATAAACAAAGCTTTTGGGCTTGGAGCAAACAAAACCAAAAAAACCCACAAAATTTCGGCAGCAGAGTTCTGATTTTGACAGATCCATTTTTACCAACAATCAAAGAACTTTATAAACACCTTGCTTTGTCTGAAGTAATTAACAATTTACACATAACCAAACTTGCAATTTTGATAGTTAAAATGAACTTTATAAATATCAAATGCAAGCAAAACTTACTGTTATTACAGTACAGAACAATGAAAACATGAAACAGGATCATTCTGCAAGATTTTGCAGCTTGCAGGCTGCAATGGAGTTCAAAACCCATGAGTTGCTGGCCACTGTGGCTCCAGTGGAACTTGCTAGAGCTTTTGCATCTGACTGCCTCGTGTTGAAAATCAAATTTCTCTTGCTGGGATCACACTTATCGGGTAGCTCACGGCTGTAAATGATGAATGTTGACAGGGATTCATGACCACTTGGAATAGGTTTCCTTTGTAGAACAGTCCCTCCAGCCGCAGTTATGAGATCATGTAAGTACCCCTTGTATGAAGTAACAAAATCTCCAGCAAAATAAAACTTGAACCCATTAAAGAGCTTTGGTTGCTGCAAACAAGAAAAGAATTGTTTGAGTGTTCATACACAAAAATTTAATCGAATTTATGATTCTCATGTCATGTATTCTGTATAGAACCACAAACTGCAATTATCAGATTCTATGCTACTGCCACTTAGAATATGTCGATCCCTTTACCAGGAAAAAGGCCAGGAAGGCTTTTGTTGGTGTTTTAACTTTCCCCGGGATTAAAATAATGCCAGAAAATACCTATTTTTTTTTCGTTTTTTGAGACATAGACCACAGCCTAGATTTTGGATGGATTTGGCAAATCAAATCCTTCTCAATGTCAACTTTGCTAAACGGATACTAATTATGGGTTACATTGCATTGTGGAAAACTAGTTTTTTTTTTTAAAAAAAAAAGGAAAAGAAAAAAGAAAAAGGATAAAATGACAATGGTAAGAGAAGCTATACATCTGAAGAGTAAATTGAATGGTAAAATTTTTCTCATGAAGCCCATTCATCATAGCAAACATTGTGTGTTTGGTAACGTTTACGTTTTCAGTTTATATTTACAAAAATTTTATAAACTGATTTTTGTTTATTTTTAAAAAAACATAAACTACAAATACATTTGATAATTAACAAAATGTTTAAAAAATGTTTAAAAATATAAAAAAGAATGAGAAATGGCAAGTGACGGCGGAAGACGGTCGTGGAAAGTTGTGATGGTGGGTGGTGGGTAGCTGGTGGTAGCGGGTGGGTGGTGGTGGTGGAGGCAGGTGGTGGTGGCAAGTGGGTGGCGGATAGCGGGTGGTGGTGGGTAGGTAGGTGACGGTGACGGTGGCGGGTGGTAGCGAGTGGGTGGCGGTGGGTGGCAGTGGCGGCGGTGGCAGATGGGTGGCGGGTGACGGGTGGTAGTGGAAGGTAGGTGATGGGTGGTGGTGGTGGTGGTGGGTGGGATGGGTGACGGTGGCAGGTGGTGGTGGGTGGTGGTGGGTGGTGAAAAACGGTTTGGCAGGTGGGTAAGTGATAGCCAGTGGGTTGGTGCGGGTGGCGGCGGCAGGTGGTGAGTGGTGGTGGGTGGCGGGTGAGTGATGTGATGTGTGGTGGTGGTGGGTGGTGAGTGTGTGTGGGGCAATAGTGGCGAGCGTGGATGGTAGTGCGGGTGGTAGGTGGTGGCGGGTGGATGGTAGGTGCGGTGGTGGCGAGTGAGTGGCAGGTGGGTGGGGGTGGTGGTGATAGGTCGTGGTGGTGGGGGTGGTGTGGCGGAAGACAGTGGTAGAAAATGGTGGTGAGTGGTGGCTAGTGTTGGGTGTAAAAAAAAAACTCAAAACTCAAAACGGAAACACATTTTTTGTGTTATTATTTTTTGGCCAAATTTATAAACTGAGACCACTTATTTATAAATCAAAAATTTTACCAAACAAGTTTTTATTTGAGTTTCTTAAATTTTTGTAAATATAAACAAAAAACTAAAAACGTAAGTGTTACCAAACGACACCTTAAATCATTAGCTATGACTAAAATTGGTTAAGAGATAAATTACTGACTATGCTTACTTGCAGGAATGGAGACTTCATATGTATCACACTCAATTCATATATTTGTTTCTTTTGAAAGTAATCACAGTCAATTCAAATGTCTGAATTATTTCTAAATAAGAAAATGACCTTGTTTAGAACTCTTAATCTTCCAAGTCGAGGACCATCCTTGATTCCATGAATGTCAACACCAATTTCATATAGCTGTTCATCAACAGGTTCCATGGCTTTCATGCTAGCCTTAATCCCTGCAACACCAAAAGCAAACTGAGTTAAAAGGATATATGTGTATTCATTACAAAATTATAGGCTCTTAGAATCTTCGAGTTGCTAATATCTAAGTCAATGATTCCATTGTGATGGAAAAAAGTGTACTAACATTCAATATTCAGTATCCACTTCCCCTCTAAGATTCCCATCAAAACTTTGAGGGTTCTTCTGCAGGCTCCATTCTCGTCCGTAGATGCAATGACATGGGTGACACTGGAATCCCAGTTTTTCAATACCATAACTTTTGATGATCTCTCAAACTCAGAAACAATTTCCTGTAAACCCAACTATCAAGTAAATAAAATGATGAAACATTTTCTTATAATCCAATAGACAAAAACTATATCTAAACTTTTATTTACCCTCTCTGCATTTGCGAGAGCTGAACAACATAGGACCATTCTTTCGGATGATCCATGAGAGCTCCAATGCTTACAAGTGCTACTGGCATGTTTAACAGCAACTTCTGGTTGGTAGCTTGGGGATGGTCTGAGAAATGAAGTTCAGAGAAATTTGGAGGAAATGTATTGTAGTGAAGTTTTAAAATCCAGTTCAAATAAATCCAAAACTTGGGCATTGAAATCATTAGCTTACCCTTTTGGAATGCATTTCTTTTTCCTTTTTATCTGAGTTCCAGATTTCTCATTAGGAAGTTTAGAAGAGGCATGTAGAGGACATAACATGACAAAGTTATCCTGTGGCATGATACAAAATCAGAAAATGTATTTATTATGAAATTTTACAAACTCCATTTAATACTTACATTATCCCACCGACATTGTGGGATCAACTTTGCACAAGGAACATGGAAGCTCTTGCGGCAACTTTTCTCATAACATCCAAGAGCTGCCCCTTTGATGTCGCAGCAACAGCATTTAATCCTCCGGCTTCTTGCTAATTCAGCTTCAAGGTTGATGGCATTATCATCTTCAAAATATACATTAGGAGCCCTGCACATGTGATTTGACTAGTTAAAACTATATCATTGATATCAAAACCAAGACTTAGAAAATGATTCAAGCCACTTATGCTACTTGAGGACTTTCTACTCCAAAGCTTTATGAGTACATAAAGGTCAGTCACAGTTTAGTAGTCAAATCATGGAATTCCAATGAAATTTCACTTGAAGTGCAGTTTTCTTATCCATTAAATATTGTATCATCATGGCGATGCAGGCTATAAGAAACTCAAGAAGCAATTAAAGAAACAACAATATTAAGAAATTATCATGATTCAAGGGGGTTCTAAAGGAACCATGTATAGTCAAGTTATTAGTATTAGTAAAGTTTTGTTTTTGTTTATTATGTCTGCTTCTGGTTAGTTTTAGATTTTTTTTATTTGATTGAAAATAGCAATGCAGTTGTTTACATACTGTATTAGACCACAATATATAAATATAACAACTTGAAAAGTAGTTCTTTTTGTGTTGTTCGAAAGAACTTCATACCATTCTGTGCAATTCTTATGTGCGTGTATGACCTTTGATCCACCATTGTAATCTGCTGAAACAGGCTTGCCATTGAGGTAGTGAACCATGATTCCTGAGACCTGTAATTTCGGTTTGCAGATTAAAAAGGGGCAAATTACCAACACAGAATCAACCAATGGACTACAACAGACAAGCCAAAGGGCTGGTAGTAGAGAAGCATGTAAAAAGAGAATTCAGATACCTCAGAGTCTTTTGTAGAACGACAGAAAGCACACTGGACTTTATGAGGATCAGTATCACATTTATAAAATACCACTCCTTCAGAAGCACGAAGAGACTTCTCTGTCACCGAAATGCCCTGCAAGACTTCAGAATTACCTTGAACCTTTCCAGAGAGTTGAGTTTTCTTGACAGTAACCTCGTTACAACCATCCAAAGCAGCATCAACCAACTTATTATCCTTCGAGATTTCATCAGTGTAGATTTTTTGCTTTTTTGACCTTCTCATATCTTGATCACATTTTGGATTCGTTGTGGTCTTAATTTCGCTTTTGCTGGTTTTCACACCCAAATCAGGAACATTCTTTTTAACAGCTAGAGGAAGATATATACTGGATAATTGGGATATAAAATCCTCCTTACTTTGGTTTTGTGTTATGTTATTCTTAGATGAACCTAGGTTGTGGGTTTTCAATCTTTTAGGCTGATCTCTCCGCCGACCAATGCTCTTATTACTGCTTTCTTTCTTATCTGATGAAGCTGGCAAGTCAGTGACCACAGTATCATTATCCTGATTCAGAGGACTTGCTTCAACATCTAAAACAGAAATGTTTTCTGGTACAAGTTCTATGGCACTAATGTCAAACATAACCTTCTTGTCCCTCTTATGGGTTCTAGTGTTCAAATTTAACAAATTCTGCTTAAGAATACTATTTTCAGCCACTTTCTGTGATTCAACTGGGACTCCAAGAACTTCACTCATAGTACTTTTGGTTTGTTTCTTTTTGGTTATTTCACTCGCCTTCCTACCTCTCTTCTTAGATTTTTTCATTCTATCTCCAGTGTTTATATTTTCCGTTCTTGGCAAGGACAATGCAATTAAGCTTCCTTCCACATTGTCAGTCCTTGGTTTGGAAACCGCATTTTCTGACTTTTCAATTCTGATTTCCCCATTAATCACAGCACCTTGTGAGGATGCTTTGCATTCCTTTTCCTGAATTCCATTAAATTCATCAGTATCTGCAACCTGCAGTTCACAACAAAATTTAGTACCAGGGAGATGAATTAAGCAAGATGTAAGAATTTATGTATTATTGATTGATGTTATTGATAGATATCTGATGTGATGTGTTTATTACAATTACAAGGATTCCTATTATATAGGAGTGTGTTTGGGAGTAGGTGGAGAGTAGGTGAAGTGGAGGTGGTAGTGGTGTAGTGGGTTAGGTTTAGTGGAGTAGGTGAGGTGGTAGTGGTGGTAGGTTTATGGTAAATTCTAACACAAGATAAAAGATATAAATACTATATGGAGACAACAGTTGTGATACCATTTGATGATATTGCCAACATGTAAAAAGGTGTTATATACCTGTAAATTTATGGGGCTTGAACAGAGTTCAGGAGAGCAAGGCCTTTGTGTCCACTCAAACATCTCACTATCGAAGTAATTAGCATCATTCAATGCAATGTTCGTTCCCTCCTACATGAAGTAAAAATAAATTTTAAAACAAGTTTATGGCATCAAATGATAGGAGGCTTTTGCACAAGTTAAAATTTAAATAGAAGAAACCCTTCAATTGATAAACCAGTCACTCAGGTCCGGCTTCCAAATTGCATCAGAAATGGTGAACTGGACCCTTTTAACAAATTAATAAGATCCTTCAGACAGTCCCTTATGAAATTCTTCAAATTTTCAGAGGGAACTGTCAGCAATGACCAAATATTAACATTCTCCAATAACTCGTTACTGATAGTATGTTGGTCAGGGCTAACTTACCCAGATTTACTTCTGATTGCAAATCAATAAGAGCAAGGCAAGTGATTTTTCAGATCTAAGATCAAGCTACTTCTAAACAGATTAATATTTGGTAACTTACTTTTGGGGCTATTCCAGAGGGGATTTCATCATCCGAGTCCTTGATATCACTAAAACAAGGAGCGTTTGGTGGTGTATCCAGGTTATGACCCCCATCCGTCTGCTGACTTAATTTTTCTACATCCTCTTCATCTCTTAACCAGAAAAATGGAGTAAAGACCGCTTCTCCCTTTTCATTTACAGCACGTTTTTCCTTAAGTACAACTGAACTTTTCTCTGGTTGATTTTTGGTATTCTCACCCAATCCACTTCCAAACATTGCAGGTCTTATTGGAGATGCTGAAGGAGGAAATTGTGGAAGCTGGACCCTTTTCTTTGTTGGAAAGGATGGTTTCACAGGATCTGTATTTGAACTTTCTTGGTTAGTCTTTAATGACTTTTTCGGCTGCTTTCCTTTGAATCTTCTTCGATTCTTTGGTGTGTCTTGGCAAGTTCTACCACTCTCTTGTTCACAAATCTTACCACCTTCAAGTTGGTTATCTTCCTCTGCACCAACCAGAAAATGGAAAGCATGTAAGACTTGAATTGATATTGGCCTTCAATATTAGATAACTTTTAACACATACAACCTGTTTGAACAGAGAATATTTTATTAGGATAAAGACATGTCAATCTAGGTTATGGATGGCAACAATCAAATGTTCAACACAATGACCTGACGCTTTTAACATTCATAAATCTCAATTATTTGCATAAACAAAAAATAAATCATTCATGTACTATGACTTTAAAATGTTCTTGATAAGAACTAACACCTATTGCTTACATTTAACTTATTCAATATCACTTTTTTTACATGGTTAGAAACCATGCAGTGTAAAAAATGAAGAATGTGGCAACATTAACAGAAACAACACAGCCTGAAAAAAAGAAAGTGCAATGTATTTTGATTGAGAAACATATAGAAGCAAAATGTCTTGCACCCAGGAGATTTATTTAATTCTAGAAAGCATTATTTAGGACAATGCATATACAATTATCTGTTCTAACACCAGCCTGCCGGATTTGATTAATATTTTCAAATTGCATTTTTTGTGTTTCAAATAGGGGTGTTGAAATATACCTGCTAATTTGATTGAAGGTACAGTCTGAGTGACAAATATATTGACCCCGGAAGCAATTTCCATGCTCTTGTAAATGCTAACCAGGTTATCCATATGAGGAGCAGGGCGAACCTCTGCACAAGAGAATTATTATTTAGTTGATGACAATGAATAGGCTGTATAAGGCTGGTACAGATCTAAAAGTCCATTCACAAAACTCGTCAGTCATCTGCAAAATGTAACACTACAAATTCTGTTTAAAGTTTCTAGCTAGTGTTGAGCATTAGCAGCCCAAAGATAACAATTTCCAATTGGATTGGCATAATATTATGAAAATAGAACAATAGAAGCTTCAAATTCATATGAACTGCATTGAAAGAGAACCAGGTTGATTCATGTCATCCATGAATTTTAATATTCAAAAATTTAGTAAATTAATTTAATTCAGATGTCAAAATTTAAAATCTTATGCACCAATATTATACTGGTGATTGTATACTCAGTTTTCCACATTGCCATTGTATTTATTCCAACAGAAACCATTTTGAACATAGAGAGAATATGACAAAACTACTTGGGTATGTACTTTTTAACATAGTTGAAAAACCCAATTCAAGGGATCATACCTACTCCGTATACATTTAACTTAGGGTTTGGTTAACGAGTGTCCTAAGGGCATTGGTTAACAATTTTTAAATTGATCATATATTATATATTGCAAGCACTTTGATACATTATGTACAAGCATTTTAAGCTTCTTATCAAGTGCCATTAGGGCAGTCATTAACAAAACCCAAGTTATTGGGTTTCTGCTCACTAATAATTCTATGGCTTCTATAATTATGCATAACACGGTGTGTGATAGCATCATAGCATGCATGAACCCAGCCCTTCACTGACTTCACATCGATTTCATATAGTAAGATTAAAAGAAAATGTCAAAAAACAAACACACACACACACAACACAACATATACCTCTGCGACGATATGGAACCTTACAAACTGGACAACTGGAATCTGATTTCATAGATTTCTCAATACATAAACTGAAAATAATAGAAACAACACAAAGCATTAGGCTTCTGCTTCCACATTTTCAAATGCCATACATAGATTTGTACATTAATGAAAAAAATAAATAAATAAACAAACATGTAAAGCCAAGGGCATGAAGCTGAATCAGAAGAGCTTACTTGCAAAATACATGGTTACATGTGAGTGAAACTGCAGATTTCAAGAGACTCAAGCTGCATAAAATAACAAACTATCAAAATTCAACCAATCCAAATTTCAAATCAAACCCAGATATAATTTTACACCAAAAACATATGCAAACAAACATAAAACGAATTGAAATACAGAACCCAGATGAATATATTGCTGGAACTGATATAAATTGTAGTTAATTTGTGGTAAAAGTATAAATCAGTGTATAAATAAATATAATTGTATATAAGTATATGTAAAAATATGTGTACTTATCGGTGGAGATTTTACCAGATGGGGCACTTGAGTTCTCTGCCCATTTTCTCGAGGTGAGGAAAGTCCGCCATTTTTGAGAAGAGTGTTTTCTGTGCGCACCTTGCGTTAGAGAGAGAGAGAAGAAGAAGATGAGAAGAAGAGAGAGAATGGTCGATGGCGCGAGAAATTTATCATCAGGTTTTTGAATTTCTAAGGGCGCGAAAGATTTTGGGGGCTTTTACCCGCCCCTAATTTGGAACTTTCCTTCTCTTGCACTCCTCGTACAATTTTTTGAGGTTGCTTCGGAAGATGAGTTAAATTAGCTTTTTCTTTAAAAATAAAAAATAATAAAAATTATTGGGTTAATTACTTAAAAATTCTATTTACAAATATTATGGGTGTGTTTAGTTTGTTTTGAGAGATAAATTTTCAAAAAATATTTTAGAGAGAAAATTTAGAAATTTTTTTGGTTTGTTTGGTTGTATATTTTGAAAATAATTTTGGAGTATAAGAGTTTGGAATGATTTGATATTTTATTGTAGTTGAGTAGATGTGTGTGAGATAAAAAGTTATTGAGAATGTGAGACGATAGAGAAAAAGTGATTGATTGATGTGTAAAAGAGAGAAAGTGGTTGTGGAAATTTTTTTCCAAAATCATTAAACCAAACAAAATTTTAAAAAAATTTCTCCAAAATTACTCTCTTAAAAACAAACCAAATAAGGCCTATGATAATTTAGGTTCTATCTATAATTTTTTGAGCTAATAAGTTATGAATATTATCAGTTTTTTTCAATTTTTAAAACTAAAAATATTAAATTTTATGTAGTAATGTTCTAAATAATTGTTTCACTAATTGATGAAAAAAGCAGAGTATGTAATTGAACATTTTTGTCTTTTTATTTATTAGTTTAATTCAACTATCTAATAAAATTGAAACCATTATCAATTTTTTCAATTTTAAAATTGAAAATATCATCAGTTTTTTCATTTTTAAATTTTTTTGCACATTAATGTTCCATCATCATGCTCTTTTATAGACACAAATTTTTTTTATTTTGAACAAAAAAATAATTCAATTTTTTCAAAAAAAAACAATTAGTCTTTTTTTGTTGCATATAAATTTTTTTTTTAGTTTTTTCAATTTAAAGGTTGACATTTTAAAGTTTTGAAAATCAAAATAAATATTAAATTATCATGTTTCTTTATAGATAATCATAGATGATAAACAATCATTGTTTGAATGATAATTTTGATTATTAAAAATTTAATGGAATTTGAAAATCTAAAAAATCTTAATTAAAACTTAATAGAGTATAAGTTCATAAATTAAAATTTATGTGTAAATGTCCCATATTTATTTTAGTAACTTTTTAAAATTATATTATTATTATTATTTTTTTGATCGTTTTGTAAAGATAAATTTTAAAAGTAATATTTTATTGAATAATTCTAAAAAATTAAAAAAAAAAAAACAAAAAACAAAATTAAAAAAAAAAACTACTATTTCTGTCTTTTCAAAACTTTTTAAAATTCTTCGATTCATTCGTTGAGTTAAATATAAATTCTTGAAATTTTTTAAAAAAAAAGTTCAAAAATATGAAGTTAAAAAAAAAACAAATAATCAAATTTCTCATTCTCTTTTTATTTTAGTGATAAAACGAATATTTTTAATTCATAATATTAAACGGATTTTTGGGGGGTTTTTTGGGGAACACACCAAAAAAGCTAATTTTTTGACTTTTTAATTTTTTTAACTAAAAAAATTAGTTTTTTTTAATCCAAAATAACCCAATTTTTTGGCAAAAAAACTACTAAAAAGTCAAAAAATCAAAAAAATTAATTTTTTACAACTTACCACTTGGCCATAACTCCTTCCAAAAGCTCATTTTTTTAAAAAAAGACAAACTCTAATCTTTTGAATCATAAATTCCTCCAAAATAAAGAAATCTTGCAAGAAAAATAAAGGCTATATTTGGAGAAACTTTTGAAATATGATTCCACCCCTTTCCCTGAACCTTCTGTTTGGATAGAGTATTCAAAAATTAATTCTACATTACTTTTGAAAACTCGTTTCTGGGGTTACTTGAATTTTGAAATTTTGCCTACCCGATCATCCTCCCGAACGTCCAGCCGGTTGATCGGAACAGTGTGAATTTTTATTTTTTATTTTTGGGGCAATTAGCACCTGTAATTTTTCATAATTAAATTTAAAAAAAAATTGAATTTTTTAAAATTTTAAAATTTTTTTTATGAGCTTTTAATAGAACTTTGGATTGTGTGTTTGGTTATGAGTTCTAAGTTTTTAAATCAAATGTCATATGTCACATCAATTATTTCAAACTCAATTCAAAACTCATAACCAAACAAATTTTTCACACTTAAATCATAATTTCAAAACTCACAAACTTAAAATACAACTCTATTCTCAAATCATAATTTTAAACTCTATCAAATGCAACAAAAAAAATTTAGATTTATATTTTTTGTGACAAATTTATCCCTTCGCGCACGCGCACCCACACACACACACACACTCTCTCTCTATCTTTATTGCTTTCTTTCCCTCACTCTGTCTCAACTCTCTCTCTCTCTCGTTTAACTCTTACTCTCTTTATCTCTTTTCAAGAGCTCTCTCTACCACCACCACTACCACCTCTAGTACTACCACTACCACTACCACTATCACTACATCCACCGTCTCCACTACTAGTGGCATTGTTCATCACTGCCACCACCATAACTGTCTTAACCATCGTCGCCATTGGATCTCCTATACCACCAGCAACTACCATCGTCATCTTTCACCTCCATGGCCTCATATTTGAGATTGACGACCTCAGGTCTGAGATCTATCATCTCAGATCTATATTCTCTCCCCAGTGTCGGAGCTAGGAATTTAATATAGAGGGGGCATCTATTAATTAAAATCTCAAAATTTTTCTTCCCCAATCAAGCAAGTTCGATACTCAATTTAAGCTTGATCAAATTGTTTGAAAAAAATCTTTTGAATATGTTGTTTTGTATAACAAGCCTTGACATTTACTCGAAACTTGATTATAAGCACTATTGGAACCTCTAACATGAGTCTGAATTTTTTATTTTTTCTTCCAATTTGAGAAACCCTCACCAACAAAAGAATCACCACCAACTTGATCTCTAATATCGGGTTTAAAAAGATAATAACATAAACAAAATGCTGCATTTTTTACTACGCTATACTCCAACTAATTAGGAAATTCACTAAACCAAGCCTGATTAAATTGCTAAAGTTTTTGTCCAAATGATTTTTGTGAAAAATTATGATCACGAGATTGACAAGGACCTTTTTGTAGATATACCCTACGAATTTGGTCTCGATCATTAGAATTATAGTCCATAATCCAAGGCCATAGTCCTGGATCTACAATAAGGTCTGCTAAGTTGATTTCTATGCGACTTTGCGGAAGAATAATTATCATGTTCTTCTTGAGGAAGAGATAATTCAAACTTTGATTTTCTTTTGAAATATTTCTCCATGAATGTTTTAAAAATAAAAATAAAAATAAAAATTCATAGTCAAAATCACAAACCCCCACAAATAAAAATCTACAATTTTAATACAAATAAAAAAAATAAATTTAGCACAAATCACAACAAATCAAAATTTATAATTTTAGCACAAATTATAACAAATCAAAATTCTAAATTTAAATATTAATCACCGCAAATTAATATTTTTAATTTTAGCACAAATCAAATCCCTAATTTTAGCACAAACAACAACAAACCAAAATCCTTAATTTTAATATAAATCTCCACCAATTAAGATTAATAATTTTAACGTATCAAAATCTCTTATTTTTACATAAATAATAACAAATAAAATTGGAAATAATAATAAATAACTATAAATTAATACTCATAATTTTTATTTAAAAGTAAAAATTAATAAATAAAGTTACATGTAAATAATGAACAGAAGATACCAAAGTTGTAGTGTGGTTCCAAATATGTGTTGTGTGATCCTAATTTGATAAATCACGAGTCGGTAAATCGTAAAGTAACAAAGGGAGACAAAAAAGATAAAGAAAATATGAAAAGACTTAACAAGTAGTATTGTAAATAAATAAAAAAATAAAGAATTTTCACATACTTTTAGGGTTTTAACCTTGCTGTAATTGAAGTTGTGTGCACTCACCCCCCAAAAAAAATTATGTCAGTGTTTAGTTGGGATTGGGACTCAAAAAAAGAAAGAAAGAAAAGTGGGTGCATGTGTTAGCGTGTTTGGGTAAAATTGGGAGTGCTGTGTATAGGAAGGGCAGGACTGTGTGTAAGCTAAGACCCCTCAAAAAAAGAAAATGAAAAGTCGGGGAGCACGTGACCTCCCTCGCCCTTATGTCCCTCCGCCCCTGTCTCTTCCTCTCTTTCTCTTTGTCTCCTTAAGATGCTCTATTTTCAAATTTTAGATAGTAAAAGTTTACGTTGGTTTGAACCAAATTTGAGGCAATATATGTGGTTTCTTTATCTCTCTATTTCTCTTTCTCGCTATATGTATATATTTTTATTTTAGTGCATTTTTTTTTGTTGTCATTATCAGTTTAAATATTGATTTTGAGATCTCAAATGAAAATGTTATTTTAGTAAGTTCAATAGCAAAATAGTAAGATTTTACTCTAACATGAGAGTAAAATTTTACTGTTAACGTTATTAATTCAATCTTTTGATTGATTTCTCATTTAATATCTATATGATATAAGTGTGGTGGCTAGTGATAACAATGGCAAAAAATTACTATTCATATGTTTGAAGTAAACAATAAAATTTTGCTGTCTAATAGAGTAAAATTTTACTGTCACCGGAGAATTTTGTTAGAAAATTTTTACTGACCGACAGTGGTCGCGGAAAAATTTTCGCCGGCTGGGGTGATCAATGGTGGCCAACGGTAGTTGGTAATGGCAGACAATGGTCAGTGGTGGCTGCGATAATATAAGAAAATAATAGAAGTTAAAGTTAGTATTGTAACGACCCAGATTTCTAATTATTCTATAGAATTTATACTAATATTATTTAATCTCAATTCTGAAAATATATAATTTATTATATATTATTATGTGTAATTTTGTAAAATAATATAGATAATATAAATAATAATAATAATGGGTGTGGTATTAAAATAAATAATTAATTTCTGTTAGTATAAGATAAAGTGTAATTTAATTAAAAATTAAATTATTTATATAATTATATTAAAATATTGGGTCAAAAGGTAATTATCTTAAATATCTATCAAAGATAAGAATGAATCTTTATAATTATTATCGAATTTGGGAGAAAGGGACGGCCCGGCCACGTGTTGGCCAAGCAATGGTCTCACCTCCTTATAAATAGGAGGTGATTCGGCTGAAGGAAAGCAAAGAAGAAAGAAAAAGAAAGAAGAAAGAAAAGGAAGAAAGAAAGGAGAGAAAGAAGGAAGAATAGTGGAAGCTAAAAGGGTCTTTGATAATGAAAAGAAAGAATGGGGTATTAAAGTTAAGGTGAGTTATATTATACCTTGAGTCACCAAAATGTATTTTACTTATGTTTTAACTTACCAAAATCTATTTTATACAAGTTATGTTTTTAATAAAAGTTATATTTTATAAAGGTTTCAGTTACGTGGATTATTTTTTGAATCTTATTTGCTAAAGTAAAACCCATGGATATGTTCGTTTTACTTTTAAAGAATATTTGACTATGATCTCATATACAATTATGTTTTGTAAGTACCACACGGGAGTCCCACGCCTTGGGGGACTTAAATAACCATTGACCTTTGTTTGGTTACTTTGTGGCCCTCTGATCCATTGACTTCTGTTCTGTGCGGAGTAAAGTGCTGTGCGGAGCTAAGTGCTACACTATCGTGGGAGCCACCTCTAGAATCCGTACCTCTGTTCTGACTGTCACTTCTGTGACCTCTGCTCTGTTCTGTTATGTTCTGTACCGTGGTTGTATTTCAGTTTTTGCTACTTAAATGATTTCTGCTACTCAAATGATTTGTTTATGTAAATGTTTTGGCTACATAATTATCCATAGTTATTTCGTGCCCTTATACTCTTGGTATAATATTTCTCACTCTGCCATGTGCTTATAGTTATGCATGTTATATATATACAAGTTCAAGCTTAGTTTTGAAGAATTGGCATGTTTTTGGGCCTTATCATGATGTTATACAATTTTCTAAGTGTTTTCTTGAGTTTTGTCCCAAAAGAATGAGTTTTGATACTTTGAAGTTGAGGTTTGCAGCTTGAAGAACAATCTGGAAATTTTAGAGTTCGCAGGGTTCGCTCGAGCGATGAACTCTTCACTCAAGCGTACTTTGCGAGCTCTCTGAAGTTTTGCAGACAGTGTAGTTGGCTCAAGCGACCAAAGCTTCACTTGAGTGAACTCACCTTTGTTAGGCTCATGGCTCGAGCGACCAAAAAGTTGGCTCGAGCCTAAAATGAGAGCTCCTAGAAATTTTGCAGACTAAGGGGTCCGCTTGAGCGAACTGTCCTGTTTTTCAAAATTTTGCTAAGTGTTTCAAAGTGTAAAATTGCATCCTCAAATGAGAGCTCCTAGAACGTTTACAGAGCGTGTGTTTCAATATGTATCTGTCACGTGTTTGTGTAGGCCACATGCTAGTATCCATCTTATTTGTCCAAGCTATTTTTCTGCTTCTGGAGCTATCTGTGAGTAATAACTCTATAAAACTATGTTTGATTATAAGTATTTTCTGACCAGAATGATATGATCAGTTTTCTAAAATGTTATGTCTTGTATAATGAATGATTGTCCAATTTCTGAAATGTATTTGTGGCATCCTTAGCATATCTGTTAACTGTTACCCGATATCGGAGGTTCCATTATGGAACTCAATATGTCTGCAATTTGTTACTCGTACCGCAGGCTCCATCATGGAGCTCAGCATGTCTATTCTCTGTTACCTAGATCCGGAGGTTCCTTTATGGAACTAGTTACTCATAACCACCATCTGTTCTGCATCTATTCTGTTAGCATTAATGGATGTACCGCGTGTGATTAAGGCCAAGTTTGGGAAGACTAAATAAGTGCACTTTTTGTCTTTTTGGACTAAAAAATTGAGATTGAAAATATGGATGTTTGGGTTAACTTTTTGACTTTTTATGGAAAAATGTGTAATAAAAAATTGTAAAAATTGGTTTGTAGAGGAAAATTTGAATTGGGAGTTGTGCAGCCGTAATTGTTGACTTTTGGTGAATAGTGTTAACTTTTTAACTTTTTGAGTAACTTTTTGACTTTTTGACTTATTTGGGACTTCCCAAACTTAGCCTAAATATCTATTAAGGATAAGAATAAACCTTTGTAATTATTATCGAAATCTGCCACGTAGCGCTCTCTCCCCCTATAAAAGGCGGAGGCGTCCGCAGAAAGAAAGAAAAGAAAAGAAAAAGAAAGAAAAGAAAGAGAGGAAAAGAAAGAAGAAATAATGAAAGCTAAAATGGTCTTTGATAGTGGGAAGAAAGAGTAAGGTATTAAAGTTAAGGTGAGTTATATTATATCTTGAGTTACCAAAATGTATTTTACTTATATTTTGACTTACCAAAATCTATTTTATAAAAGTTATGTTTTATTAGTATATTTATAAAAGTTATGAAGGTTTCAGTTACGTGGTTTTATTTCTGAACCCTATTTGCTTAAAAGGAAACCCATGGATGTGTTTGTTTTACTTTTAAAGAATATTTGGTTGTGACCTTATATGAAAATGTGTTTTGTAAGTACCACCACGGCAGTCCCATGCCTTGGGAGACTTAAATAACCATTGGCTTAGTGAGTTCCATGCCTTGGGGGACTGAAATAACCATTGGCTTAGTGAGTCCTATGCCTTGGGGGACTGAAATAACCATGGGCTTAGTGATTGACCACTTTGTGGTCCAGTGTTTGTCGTGGATCCATTGACCAGTGTGGTGCTTGGCACTTAGTGATGTACCGTGGTTATGGTTGTATAGTGATTTTCGTATTACATGTTAAATGATCTGAAGTATATATCAAATGATTTTCGTGTTATATGTATCAAGCTCTTTTTGGTCTAACTAATTATCCATGGTGAATTTTATGCCTTATACTCTTAGTATAATATTTCTCACTCTGCCATGAGCTTATAGTTTTTTACCACTTTCAGGTGACATGTCGGGACCAGCGTGTGGGATAGGCACAAAACACCTTTGTTGATGTATTTTTTTTTTATGTAAAAATCGGCCTTTTTGGTCAATACCTTTTGTAATAAAAATAGAAACTCCAATGATTATTTTAGTACCCTTATTTAAATATTTCTTCCGCTTGCGTTTATTAAATTGTTTAAAGATTTGGCCGGAGGTAACCACGGTTACTGGCCATCACGATGTCTAACCCTTGAGTACGGGGAGCGAGTCGTGACAAGTATTGTCATATTTAAAAATATTTTGAATTTAGTCTCCAATGAATTAAATGTTTTGTAACTTGCCCTTTTGGTAATAAAATTTGGAATTGTGGGACTTATTACCAAAAACTCCATATTATAAAAGTGTAACATAGATTTACAACAATAATTTTGTATTTTAAATTTACAAATAATTTTGAAAATTTTAAAATTGAACCCAACTCATGTTCCAGTTTTGCCCAATGATGCTACCTTGGTGATTTATTATGTTTGATTTTTAAATTTTAATGTCTCGATTATTCATAAAATAAAAATATTGATACAATATTCATAGTCATGTAATTTTTGTTTATATATTTTCAAACAAATCAACGGTGTTCCATTTACAACAAAAGTTGTTAATTCTTAATTTTTTGTTTCAATGTCATCCTATCATCACTCGCCATTTAAAAAAAAAAAAAAAAAATTGATTGCAAATGTTCATGTGTTTGTGAGCAAGTTTTAGAGATTGTTTTTTTTCAAATACATTTTTTACCTTTTAAATTTCACCTTAGTCTTATATTTTTCAACTTTCATTCAATTTTGAAACGGGGAGATTACAGGAGAATTATATTAAAACTTATAAATTTAATTATTATAATTGAAAAGTTATGGACTCAAGTCAAATTTAAGTAAAAAATATAATTTATCCTTACACTCTGTTTGGATTGGGTGATGAAAAATAAAAGAAATTATTAGACATTCTCACCTAAGTGAGAAAAAAATAAGGAAATGAAATGATAGTGGTTATTCACCTTATTTGAATGGACTGTGATTAAAAAAGTAATTTTGATTTCTCACTAAATCTCATTATTTGGGGTGAGAAACAAAGCTTAAATTTAGTGTGATTTAGCTTTTTCACAATTTCTTACTATTACTCACCTCATTAATTATTCAAACAAGTGATGAGAAATTTCGTTCTCTCCATTTATTTTATTTTCTTTTCTCATCGAACTCGTCAATCCAAACGGAGTGTTAAAGTTATTTAGGCTCCATTTATTTGAGCGTAAAACATTTGTATACTACTTTTTTGTGTTTAGTTGATCATAATTGAAGTAAAACTGTTCCATACTTTGAAAAAATATTAGAAAATAGAACACTCACAATTCAAAACTTGTAAATCTTATTTATTTTCGGTGGTACTCACACCACACCAAATTTTAATCTATACCATATTTAAGCCATTTTTTTGGTATTTTTTATTGGTACATAATATTTGTATTATTAGAGACACCTGCGTCCAGTATACAAAGGGAGAGGACAAGAAGTTGAGTAACTTCACTTCTGAGTTTCAAAGTTTTGTCTACAACCGCCACCCCAATAAAGAAAATTGTAGAACTTCTCATCACTTGTATTTATGATCTATTAACTCTCAATTAATCAACAGAAAAATCATTACATCAATTAAATTGAGAAATTAAACCTAAAATCCATCTGAAAATTTTACCAATAATCTCTACAAGAACAAGATCCATCTTTAAAATGGTGGAACCGACTACGATCCCTCACAACAATCTCTCGATCAAAAACCTTGGATATGAGTTTTATGGCGAGGTGGCAATCTGCACACACCCTCAAGTTCTTCACAACTCTAATTGGGCTCTTGGGTGGCGTATTAACAAGCATGAATGCAATTGCAATCTTCTCGCTATGATAGGACAATGCAGTTTCCTTTTCCTCTTCTTCAATGTCTGCAAGCACATTTGCAGTATGAGGGGCATAACCTTCCAATTTCAACTTCTTTGTAATCTCCCCTAACATCGCATATATATCCTCACTTTGGGAATGAGATCTATCTCCCATGACGAATTCATAGACATGATTTCCTAGCTCAACAAGGCTATACCCTGGTGTTTTTTTCACCCCTTCCTCCAGCATTGTCCTCCTCACATTTTGCACATCCATCCAACGCCGCTCTGATGCATAGAGATTAGAGAGAAGCACATAATCTCCGCTATGCTTAGGATCTAATCGCATGAGTTGGGCTCTTGCGACCTCCCCAAGGGCCAACTGCCCGTGTATCGTGCATGCCCCTAATAAAGTCCTCCAAACAACGGCATTAGGCTTCAATGGCATGTTTTGAATGTATTCGTATGCTTTCTTCACCAAACCTGCCCTACCCAACAAATCAACTATGCAACCATAATGTTCTATCCTCGGCACAATGCCAAATTCATCTTTCATCCTCTTAAAATAAGCAAACCCCTGATCCACCATCCCACAATGACTACAAGCATACAACACTCCTATGAAAGTAATTTCAGTTGGAACCAATCTCTCTCTCTCCAACTCCTTGAAAAGCTCAATGGCTTCCTTACCAAACCCATTCACAGCCAAACCAACAATCAAAGAATTCCAAGAAACCACACACCTTTCGCCTATCTCATCAAAAACCTTTTGTGCCTCCCTAATGCTTCCACACTTGGCATAAAGGTCCAAAAGGGCATTAGAAGCATGCGAATTCTTGTTCAACCCGACCTTCAACATGTGCACATGAGTCCTCCTACCCAATGCCAAAGCCCCAAGCTCGGCACAAGCGGTAAGCAAGCTAACCATGGTGAACCCATCAGGCTCAACACCCTCCAAACCCATTTCCTTGTAAAGTGTCAACGCCTCATTGGGCATTCCATTGAGTGCAAACCCATTAATCACAGAATTCCAACCCACAAGGTTTCTCTCGGGCATTAACTCAAACACCTTGTGTGCACTCTCAGCATGCCCACAAGCGGCATACATATGAACCAAAGTGTTCTGCACAAAGACCGATGACCCAAACCCGTTTTTCACAGCAATGGAATGAACCATTTCACCCTCTCTAACATCCATTAATTTGGCAATGGCCTTTAGAAGAAAAGGGTATGTGTGTGTGTCAGGTTCAACAGAGTTCAAATGCATTTTGTGGTGAATCTCAACAGCTGGACTTGGGTTTTCACTCTCAGCATAGCCTCTAATCATGGTGTTCCAAGTGAATATGTTTGGGTTTAGGATTTGTGTAAAGATTTTGTCAGCATAGGACATGGGTCCTGAGAGGGACACAAGTTGGAAGATAAGGTTTTTGCCGATGTCTGGGTTGGTGAGAGGGACACCATGTTTGATAGAGAAGGCATGGATTTGCCTGAGCTTGTAGTTGGAGGAAGCGCATGTTAGCAGGAGAGCAATGCATTTTTGGAGGATGTTGGGTTTTGGGTTTTGTTGAGGAATGGTGGGTGTGGAGAGTGGTGAGTAAGAGAAGTGGTTTGTGGGGTTTTGGTGGGAGAGAGGTGCAGTTGACGATGGTGTAGGATGTGAAGAGAATGTGGGCATGTCATAGCATTGCTTGTGTGAGAAAGGGACTTGAAGTTGGTTTATGTAATGAGAAACTATTAACTATGGGGGTGGTTTTGGGATGTTCTAAATAAATATAATTTTTTAACTTTTTAGATTAAAAAATTGAGAAAAAAATATGGTTGTTTAGATTAATTTTTTGATTTTTTATGAAAAAATATGTATTAAAAAATTATATAAATTAGTGTGTAGAGAAAAATTAGAATTGAGAATTGTGTAGTCATAATTTTTAACTTTTAGTAAATAGTGATAACTTTTTAATTTTTTAAGTAACTTTTTAATTTTTTATGGACTTACCAAACTTGACCTAAGTTTGGCCTTTCTTGATTGTAATTTGATGATGAATGGTCAACTGAAAGTAAAATACCAGCATGGTACAACAGAATCTACACATAAGAGTGATTGAGGAGAAGTTATTGGTCGGTCTTCGGTACCGTTACGTCATAGTTTAAAATTTTTTTGATTGATAGAAGGGATAGGTTTACAAATTTATATTAAGTGATTGAGAAATATAAAAGAATATGATGAATTGTGATTGATGAATGACATAATGGCGTGGCGGTCCTAAACCAACCAATAATTTTTTGTGATTTAGGGATCAAACAGGAAAATATATTTGATGGTCAGGAGCCATTACATTACATTTTATCTTGATCAATCTAATTCAAGAAAATAGTGCATGATATCCAATTTTTTTTCTTTTACTTTATTTTATATTAAAAAAAAAAAAAACTTAATAGGAGTTAAGAGTGGATTCTTTTTAATTGACATTCAAATGGAGAGGCTTTGCCTTAGTGGGCTCATTTCAAAGCATATTTTGATAATTTGAATCGTTTAATTTATATGGCGAATTGAATAGAGCATACATGAAATAAATCCAAAGATATTGATAGCTAAAAATCATACTTGCTATTTGTATTTTAAAAATAAATGTGATTGGATTATCTAATTGTCGATATTTATTATTTAATTAATTTGGAGTCACAAGATAGGCCCACATATAGGACCTGGCCATTTCCTCGATAAAATGGCCGGTGCAAAGGAGAGGTTTGTTGTGATGAAAGGTTACTATGAGCTTGTTACCAATTATTTCTTTCTCTACGAGTCAATTTTATGATGTAATTTTATTTTATTTTTGGTATAACACAAAGATTGGGGAAACACTACCGTGCACAAGGGTGTGCACCATATGCACCTTATAACTAAAAAGAAAAATCACATAATTTTGATTTTTTGGATCATAACTAAAAAAAAAAAAAAAATCATAACAAAATATAATAAGAGGCATAACTAAAGAATTCATGAGTTATAACTAAAGAATTCATGAGTTATAACTAAAGAAAAAAATAGTATAATTAAAGATACATATGATACGTCATTTTTAAATGTTGAAAATTTGGTTTTATAAGTCTTATTTTGGGGCCAACTTTGAGCCCAAAATTGAGTGGGCCCCAAACGTCTTTGGGGTTAGTCCGAAAAGGTGACGTGTTCCTTGCCGCATGGCAAGTCACACGGTAAAGACGGTTCGTCAAAACTATTTATGGGTGAATAGGAACTTGATGTCGTTTTCGGATTCGTGGAATGAACATTTAAATAATTAAATGTGGGTTTCTTTGTAAGGCTTGTGTCACATTGAAACTTGAAGAGAATTGATGTGTGTATATAAGTTCTTGGTGTACTAACTTTAGTTGGGTCCCAAGGGGCACCCCAAGTTTGTAGAAAGAGGGAGTTATGGATAAATGGAATCTTGGCTCAAACCACCACACATGCGCGGCCCACCGCCGACCGGCCGTGCAGTTGTGGGTCAGGTCAGTTATAACTTTAATTTTTTAGAGAAAATTTATTTGAATTCTTAACGAAATTAATTCAAGTTTTGTGCTAAATTTGAATTTAATTTTTCAGTCCAATGTTACTTCTTCCAGTCCAATGTTGGAACCCGAATAGATTCATAACTGTCCAGACAAATTCAAAATATGGACAGTTTATTTAACTGCAGCATTCGAAACAGTGCACCTGTTCCAGATCTATTCTAGTTTGAAATTAACACCTGTTCATGTCTATAAAACCAGATCTGTTCCAGTATTTTTCTACATCCGAAATACAGTCTGAAAATTACTTATATGTTGTTCAATTTTTTGCTTTGTTTGCATAAATTCTTCATATTAATTTTTAGGAAAATTAAAGAGAGTATAGAACACAGGGTTTTAGTTCGCCGGATAAATTTATTTGGAGTGCTACTATAAATTTGTTAAGATCATTGTATCCTGAGAGACAGACGCCATTAGTCCGTAAGCACCGTAGCAGGGCGAATCTATTTTAAGGACAGAATGTCACACACTCGATTCGATCTTTTAAATATTCATTCGTTTCGATAAAAATAAATCCGGTACATAATTTATTTCATAATTTAATGTAATGCTTGTATATTAGAATTTTCCCAAAGATTAACCACCTCTACAAGTCACAAGAAGCTATTGGAGTGGCACCAGTGTGGCAGCATAAGTCTAAGGCTCTCTGAGACTCAAGTCAGAACCTGTATCCAGGTTAAAAGATAAGATAGTAGGTAGCATTAGGAGCTAGGACAATATCAAGGATTCTCTCATTGAGTCCTTGCTTGTTGGTCATTAGACCCATTTAATTTTGATAATTTAAATTTTTTATATTTTAAATTTTATTATGTATATTATACTTATAAAAAATTAAATTGATCCGATATTAAAAGAATTAAAAATTGTTTATTTAAAAATATTTAATAAACAATTTTATTGTTTAATAAAACTTCAATTTACGTGATTTTCGATATTCGGTCAACTTAATTTTTTACAAGTATAATATACATGACAAATCTTAAAATGCAAACGGTTCAAATTATTAAAATTAGATCCAATAGCCCACCAAGTAGGGAGCCAAGGAGAGGATCCTTGCTCCATTGGTCCTACTCCTACAGAATTTCGCGGCTTGTGCAGGTTTTTGGTCTTTGTCCGAACCGTAGCATGGGAGAGGAGTCGTCTCACCTATGACAAAATTTGAATCCTTGCGCCAATACCTTTCAAATAAACAAACAAACGACTCACTCAAAAATCTTGTGCTACAAAATATGTATATCAAGCTGATTGTGCAAATGCAGGAGAACAATTGTTATCATTTTTCATGATATTTTTTTGCTTAAATAAAGAATATATCCACATTGAAGTGTTTGAACAAAACTTTAGTTATCCATTAATTATTATAACCAAAGTTTATTAGGGAGTTCGTGGAGGAGGGGAGGCTATAAGTACAAGCATAATAGCTGGCTTATGTTTTTCTCAAGCTAATACAGAAAAATGAATGAAGAAAGAAAATAGGTGGGAGAAAAGAAAAAAAGAAAAAGAAAAAGAAAAAGAAAAAGAAAAAGATCAATCAAAAAATTCCCACTGAGTAGTGGTTGAAGGAGGAAGAAGAGGAGGAGGATCGAAGGTCTCCCATTTGGTGGTGACAATCACGGGCTTTATTCTTGCATTTGATACCTTGATAGCATCAAGGGCTTCAACACACTTCTGCACTCTCTTGCCCTGCAAAGAGAACAGCCAAGATTACTGCTGGTTTGTCACACACCACATAGCTTTTCAATGATCACAATGTTAAACACCAGAAAAGTAAGATGACTAGTAAGAATGGATCTAAGTCATTCCCTTAATGGTAATAACATTGAAATATAGGTATAAATGGAGTGAATTCTAGGGTTAGTTGTAAACTCAGATGTTTTGAATTTGACTTTTGTTGGTATCTCCCAGGCTTCAGTGATATCTGATTTGCGAGTGATTGCAAACATTTGGTGTTTACTCAGCAGGGAGTGTCTAAAGAACCCTTGTAAGATTTTCTCACAATCATAATCACAAAAATTTTATTCTATTATATAAGTCATCAGATTCAGATATTATTTGATCAGAACAACATGGTACCAAGTTTAGATTAATTTGCTAGAAAATCATATTCATCATTGTGGATGTAAGCTGTCAATAGTCTTAGATCAGGCAAATTATTTTAGTTTCTTAATAAGTAATCTCATGTAGACCAGCAAAGTCTTTCAAGTAAAGTTTGGGGCTGTTTGTTATCATTTCCATTCTCTTCCGTTTTGTTTTTTGTGTTTTCGAAAACCAAAACTGAAAAAGTTTGGAAACACCCATCATTTTCATTTTTGATATCTTTATTCTAATCAGATACAAATTTGATTGCTAAGATTGCATTTAATGTTGACAGCTCATCACTGGAGTGCAAGGTAATGGATTCAAAGAAAAACCCAAGTTGGTTAATAATTAATATTATTGTTTCTTAAGAAGAAATTAGCAGATTAAATGAAGGATCTGGAATAAAATACTAAGAACATGGCACAATACCTGCAAGTTTTTTGTAGCACAAGCATCTCCTTCAGTGGAAATCGTATCAAGCTTGACAGCTTGCCTCATTAACATCTCAATCAGTGTAGTGATCTGAACTTCTGGTACCTTATTCCCATTTGCTATTGACTTTTCAATTGCAGAAACCTGTGGAAAAACATAGAAAATTCACATAAAAAAGTGATTGGGTGATGAACTCGTAAACTATGGAGTCATGCATTAACATGCACGAGGATTATTAATTTTTTAAACCATGTCAGTAAATTTATGCTACTTGTTAATGAAATCATGCAGATTTCAGTCATTAAGAACTTGATCCGAGTACATTTTTTTAAAAATATTTTTTGAGAGGGAGAATTGCACCGAGATAAGTACGGCCGAGCTACACTAACACAAGTTATAACGGACCGGACTGTTTGTTTGGTTGGAGCGGCTCCACGGGCTGTCATGCAGGGCCGAGTTGGATCAGTCGACCGGAGCATGGGGTCATTCGTGTTCCTGACTGAGCTGTGATTCGGCTAGGCGTTCGGCGAGGCATTCGTGTTCCTGACCGGGACCGCGCCAAGCATAGCCCGAAATGAATTTAGATCGGGGCGAAGGAGTGCGCCTCACGGCCAGTTAGTCCGGAAGGACCGACTTCTTACAGCTTGGCCGTATTGATCGTAGTTGTGTTTCTTCAAGGGATAGGTCGGTCATGATATCCCGGTTGAGTGTGCCACCTGGGCCAATGATGTGGTGGAGGGGATACCGGCTCCAAGCACGCGTCAATACCGTTTGGCAGTTTTACACGTATTGTTTGGAGGTTTTGCCTTTACACGCATAAAGTGGTGAGAGGCGAGCACTGCCACCTGTCTAGGGAAGGATAGCAGAGGTAGTGCGGGCACAATCCCTGAAGCTGCATGGCCAGCCTAGAAAAAGGAAAGAAGGGGAACGTTGGAGGTATGCTATCTGAACAACTCTCTCTCTCTCTCTAAAAACTAATGTAGAACAAGTAGCCAAAAACTTCTTGGAACAATTGGACCGACAAAAGGCAAGAAAAAAAATGAGTATTCTTCCCTAAGTGATCTGACTTGATCGTCGGAGGGTCTATCCGGCAACACACCGCCGGGCAGCTCACCGTTTCTCTGTTTCCAGGTCAGACTTCGTTATGTGAAGCTTGAGTTCAAGGAGTACGAAAAGCGAAGGATATTTCGTCGCCGTACATTTTTTATATCACAATTAAATATTAATTTTGATCGTAGTTAATCTAGACAATCTAAGCTTGCGGGTCGTTTGGCAAAATTTATTTGAGCTTTAAAAAATGTCATAGCTTCATGAAATATAAATAGTTTAAATTGAAAATCTATTAAAAGTTTAGAATTTAAATTGATAAAATTAAAAAAATAAGAGTTTATTTTGTTATAATGATCAAATTCTATTTTTTTTGATTATTTTCCCTAGATTAATTATGAGTTACTTCAATAATTCAATTTATTTTGGAAAGCTCGTGTATAAATCATTATAAAAATAATTAAATTAATTTAATAATTATAATTACATAATTTCATAGCTATTTTTGATAAGTAATTTCAACAGGTTTTCGTTTTTCTTTTTAGAACAAAAATCAAAACGCAAGTATAGGAAAGAAAATATAAAAGGAGAAATCACCGACAGACCAAGAAATCAAGTGGACCAGAGGCAATTTGATAGGTGGTCCTAACCACTGAGCTCTTGTTGCGTGCTAACATATTTGACAGTCCTGAATCTCTCACACCATAAACAGGACCACCCACGTTCCATGGTCTCAATGCTTGTTTGATTGGGAAGATTATAATATAAAATTTGAATAATTAATTCATCAGATTCATATTTTATTCAAATTAAATTTTGATGGCTATTTTATTCAATAAATTGACGAATTTTTTAATGCAACAACTAATAACGCAAAACATATATATAATTGAAATTATATATTTCTACATTTATTTTCAAAAAGAAATTATGTATCTCACTAATCAACTTGGATAATCAATCCTATACAAATTTCAAAGATTATTAATTCCCTCGCTATTAATTCTGGTAACCAAAGGTGCCCTAAGAGTATCTGAATCTTCCCCATGTCTAGCCAACCAACAAGTGGCCTTGGGTAGTTTTTTGGAAAAATTATAAGTTATAATTAAGTACATATTTTTTTTAAAATAATTTCAAATTAGTGATAAATTTTAATAAAACTTTAATAATAATTTTTTCTATGAATTTACAAAATATTTTATGAAGATACTAATGTTTTACAATTTTTCTTAATTTTTTTATGGGTAAATTGCACTTTAAAAAAAATTGTAAAAAATTAGTATTTTCATAAAATATTTGTAAATTCATAGAAAAAATTAAAAATTTTATTATTAAAGTTTTATTAAAATTTATCACTAATTTGAAATTATTTTAAAAAAAATATGTACTTAATTATAACTTTAAATTTTTCCAAAAAACTACCCAAGGCCACTTGTTGGTTGGCTAGACATGGGGAAGATTCAGATACTCTTAGGGCACCTTTGGTTACCAGAATTAATAGCGAGGGAATTAATAATCTTTGAAATTTGTATAGGATTGATTATCCAAGTTGATTAGTGAGATACATAATTTCTTTTTGAAAATAAATGTAGAAATATATAATTTCAATTATATATATGTTTTGCGTTATTAGTTGTTGCATTAAAAAATTCGTCAATTTATTGAATAAAATAGCCATCAAAATTTAATTTGAATAAAATATGAATCTGATGAATTAATTATTCAAATTTTATATTATAATCTTCCCAATCAAACAAGCATTGAGACCATGGAACGTGGGTGGTCCTGTTTATGGTGTGAGAGATTCAGGACTGTCAAATATGTTAGCACGCAACAAGAGCTCAGTGGTTAGGACCACCTATCAAATTGCCTCTGGTCCACTTGATTTCTTGGTCTGTCGGTAACTTGACAAAAGAAAAATGACGGTGATTCATCCCCTAAAAATAGAATTCTAAAGAAAGTTCTATAAACTTGGCAATGAAAAAAAAAAAAAAAAGACCAAAACATCACATCAATTTAGGCTCGCCACCCGTAAAGCTCCATTATAGCTCATAAATTAGAGTTCTAAAACATTTTTGTATGAAAAATTAAATTATGAGAATTTTTTTTTTAAGACTACAAAATCACCAAATATAAATCAATGTGTTTGGTTTGAGTTTTTGGATTGAATTTTTTGAAAATTGAATTTTTTGATTTTCGTGTTTTTTTTAGTAAATATTTTTAAAATTTTAAATATTTTTTTTACTTTTTTAGATGTACATTACTTAGATGTATCTAAAAAGTAAAAAATTTATGAAAAAATATTTCAAAAAATTAATAAATACATAAAAATATAAAAAAATATACTGAATTCCCGTATTTTTTTTTTTTGCATTTTTGGTGTTTAGTGAATTTTTAAAAGATTTTTTTCATAAATTTTTTATTTTTTAGGTATATTTATATTAAATATGTCTAAAAATAAAAAAAAAGTTACTTAAAATATTAAAAAAATTCAGGAAAAACAAGAAAATATAAAAAATAAGAAAGTGCAATTTTTTTAAAAATATTTTTGAAAAATTTTAACCAATTCTAACCAAGCAAAGTGAATAAAAAGAGCCGAGTATAATTACCCATTTTACTTATCCAAATCCAATTAATTAAATGGCTCCCACTTGAATAGTTGGTTAGACGGTCAAGATTCTAATTCTCAATGATGACACAAACCCCAACTGTACGGTGATGTAACTCCACATCATTGCCAGCTGTTATGACCATGACACTAATGCTGTCCACTCTACACACTAACTCCATCATCATTCACCTGATCCAACGGCCACCATTAAAAGCAACGCTAGTTGAGAGTTTCACTCACCTGCTCCGCCAGCTTATCGACCTCCGTGGATATGTCGTTGATTTGGCGATGTGCGGTCTGGATCTTGGCGTTCCTACGCATCTCGATGATCCTCCTCTCTCTGCTCGATGGGTCCTCGATCAGGATGACTTTTGATCGGTCTTTGACTCCACTCATGTCCAGGTACTCCCCATTCTCTCTCTCTTTTCCTCGGAATATTAGCCGTTGATCTCCTGGTTCTAATCCAGATTCTGCTGTCAGAAGCTTCTTCATTTCCCCTAGAATTTTACAATTTTACCCTTAGCATTTCCATCGATGATAGACGGACTGTTTGGTGTAATTTCTTGTGATAATCACAAAAAACCATAAACAAACACACACATCTCCTCACTCCTAAATAATCAACATTTTAATAATCCATGAATAAAAATTACAACAAACAATGTAGGTGTTTGGTATGACTTATTTGATCCACTAATAAATATATATTTGGAGTCTCTCGTTGATAAAGTGTAACTTTTATTATATCTTATTAATTAAAAATAACTTCAATAAATTTTTAAAAATTGATTATTTGAAACTTAAAAAAAATAATCAACTTGTTTGGTTGTGTTTTTTCAAAAACACTTTTTAGAAAATTCTATTTTCTTATTTTTCGTGTTTTTACTGAATTTCTTTAATATTTTAAGCAATTTTTTTTTACTTTTTAGACATACCTAACATAAATATACCTAAAAAGTAAAAAATTTGTAAAAAAAATCTTTTAAAAATTCACTAAATACCAAAAATACAAAAAAATACGAGAATTCAGTACATTTTTTTATATTTTTATGTATTTATTAAAATTTTAAAATATTTTTTTCACATTTTTTTTACTTTTTAAATACATTTAAGTAAGGTGCATCTAAAAAAGTAAAAAAAAATGTTTAAAATTTTAAAAATATTCACTAAACACAAAAAAACACGAAAACAAAAAAATCAAACTTTTAAAAAATTTAATTCAAAAAACTTAAACCAAACACACTCAATATTTTTGACCTCTTATTATAAACAATGTGATTGGTGGGTGCAAATTATCATAACTGCTCATATCATTTTCTGTATATTTGCTTATATATATTTGTTAAGAGTTTGTGTTAGATTGTTTATTGTAATTTTTATTTATAACTTATTAAATAAAAATAACTTAAATAAATGTAAAAAAAAAATTGATTGTCTAAAAGTTGAAAATGACTATTTTCGACTTCTACAATTTTATTATTAAATTTTAACTTAAACAAACTAATGTTTCATCCGTGCTGTACGAGTTGTGTTTATAATTATTTATATATATGTGAATTATAATTTTTAAATATCTTTTTTTTTTGGTACACAAAAAAAGAAATATAACTAATGCAGCATATCTTCAATCAATTATTTTATATTCATTTTTATTCAAAATTTAAAAATAATATACGGGTAAAATTTGTAACTAAGGAAAAATTTATTCCTAACGACATTTTTTTACTTCTATATAAATATTTTAAAAAAAAATCTGAAAAAAGTAATCAATATAATATTATACATTAAGTAAAAAAATGTAATTAGCAATTACGCTTACATAAATTTATATTATAGTTTTAATTTAATTTAATTTTTTTAAAAATATATATTTTAAAAGCATTTTGCATGATCATTGGCCTTTTCTAATCTAATCAAGGGCATTATGGTCATTTAAAATATTAATCCCGTGATCTTCCCTCCAATACCGTGGTTTTGCATGAAATCTGATGGAAATCTCAAACTCTCGTTTGGTTGCCAAGAAAATTAAAGAATTATCTTTAGAAAGAAATGCCAAGTTGATGCAACTTCTAAGGTACCTTTGTTTGGTTAACGAGAAAGCATAGGAAAGAAAAAGAAAAAAAAAGGGGATCCTAACCATTTTGACGACCTAGGAAAGAAAAAGAAAAAAAAAGGGGATCCTAACCATTTTGACGTCCTATTAAACAGTAGCAAACCATTTTAATTTTGACATACAAACTTGTTTTCTTTTCCATTGAAAAAGTAAACGCAAGCCAACAACCATTTCATTTTCCTACATTTTCTCAGCAACCAAACAGAAGAAAATTAAAAAAAGAAGATCTGCAAACCTTACCAAATGTTGATTGAGAACTCACGGATATCTCGTACCGGATAGTACCGTGAGCGACCCGAATGCGCAAATTCGGAGCCTGAGAATCCGAATTGTAGGTTCGTTTCTGCACCAACATTCCACCGGGTCTCATTTCCCACTCAATCTCTTCTTCTCTCGGTGTCGTCGTCGTCGCCTCCGAGCTTTCGCTCAATCGACGGTTGAAATTCAATCTTCTCTTAATCATCTTCAGTTCCTATAGTTTCCGGGAAAATGACTTGGAACCACCGAGAAAAAGTGCGTCTAAACTGAATGTTGAAGAATTTACAAAATATTTGAGAGATATATCCAACAATTATGTACCCATTGCTCTGCCGACACAAACAATTAGTGCTGTGTAGGTTATATAAGCTGTGTTTGTGGGGATGCTATATATATATATATATATATGTCTATGGGTGCCTGAAATAATCTATTTTGAGTCAATAACAATAAAAAAATTAAAATGATAAAATCACACATTTTATATATTTATTAATATATTTTTTTTTCCTTATAACCAACTGTTTAACTAAAACAAAAATTTATAAATCATCTAAAACATAATTTTTTTTATTATTTCATTTCATAAAATAATCAAATAATCAAAATGTCAATTAAAATAATCAAGTTTCTAATCGAGATATGTTTTAATTTTATTTTTAATTTAATTTATTAGTTGATTTGATAGGATATTCTTTTGTTATTCTTAATAAAGATTAAAGAAGAAATAAATAAAATAAAATATAGAAAATAAAGAATAAGATTGAGTCAGGCCTTGTTTGGAAAGTTGAAAATTATTACAAAAAGTCCATTTTATATCTTTATTTTTTTGCACATTTTTTATAAAAAAATAAATAAAAAATCACTAAAATAAAACAATTTCAAATTAACTCATTTGTGAAGGCTAGTTTTTAGCTTAAAAAAAGAAAAGAAAAAGGGGGGGGGTGTTAAAAAATCACTACAAAAAGTCAATATATTATCTCTACTTTTTTTAATTATTTTTTTTGTTATAAAAAGTTAATAAAAAAAATCAATTTCCAAAGACACTCGTTTTGCAAAGTGTGAAGTGGAGTTCAAATTTTATCATTGTTTTCCTTGAAAAAAAATCAATAATCTTATTAAAATTATATAACTCATATTACATCAGTTTGTAAAATAAAAAATAATATTAAAAACTTTTACACAAAATTAGTTAAATTTTATTAAAAATTTATATTGATCTCTTGTCTAGATTTCTTAGAATTTGCTTAATTAGACAACTTATAAAGCGTATGAAAAATAATTACATTTTAAATTTAGATAAACATTAGAGTTCTATAATTTTTATTAAACTAATTGCTTATATTAAACAATATGTTAATGATTCTTTAATGTTGTGTTTGGTTTGAGGATTTGGAGAGGGATTTGGAAAGAGAAATGGAAAAGGTAGGTGAAATGTAAATAAAACATGCTTATATTTTACTTAGTTTTACACATATTTTTCTTTTCTCTTTCCAAATCCCTCTCCAAATCCTCCAACCAAACACAGCATAAGAGTTGGTCCTTACACTTTAGTAATTATACGGGTAAATTACATTTTTATTTTTATAGTTTGGTTAATTCTTATTATTTTAATTTAAATAATTTATAAGTTCTTACCCTTTAAGGTTAGTACCAATTTGAATATGCCTTCCAAATTATCTTTCAATATTTACGTATGACCCTGTAAAATTATTAAGAATAAAGCTTCTTACCCTTCGTCGCTTGAATATGCCTTCGTCGATCTGAGACAGAGGGAGAGGGAGAGGGAGAGAAGAGAGCTTGCAGATCGTCGGCGATCGTCAGCTCGTCGCAGCTCTGATCGTCGCAGCTCCGATCGTAGCTCGTCAGCCCGTCGCTCGCCTCCGGCCCCGCCTCTGCCTCCTCCTCCCCTTGTGGTTATGGCCCCCTCCAGTCCTCCTCCTTCCTTCTCTTCTCCTACTCTGCTTCTGAAAAAAAAAAAAAAATTAGGGGGATTCAGGGGAGCTCATTTTCGAGCTCCCTAGCATTGCTCAATTATTAATTTTGACATCTAATTTAAACGAAACAACTAAATTAAAATTAACTTTAAAATATAATTTATTCTAATTATTTAACGTACTGTATATTTTGTCGTGTGATGCGATATCATCATATTAATTATAAGAGCTCGTTTGGGATGTTGATTGATTTTTTAATTATTTTAGTTTGGGGTTAAAAAATTTCTTTTGGGATAGTTTTTTTTAGTTTTTTTGACTTTTGTGAGATAAAAAATAAAATGATTATAGATTAAATGTGACATTTTATCATGTTTAATTAAAATAACATATTTTATCTTATATGATTGTTTTAACTCAAAATATTATGCTAAACAAACCCTAAATATGACTAAAGAGGCACACCAAATCAATCCAATTGTAATATAAAGATGATAATAAATAACTTTTGTTATGTTATTATGCTGTTGTTTTTTTATACCAATAATAATTTGACATTAATTATTGTTTTTTTAGAGTTTAAAACACATTATTAGAAAGGAAATTGGAATTTTGGGCTTTGACTAATGAGAGAGAGCCAACGTGTGAGGGGGACTCTATCTGCTGTTGATCTTGTAATGACAGCTAAGCAAAGGGTTGCCGACAGTCTACGGAAGCATCCAAGGGAAGCAAAGTGATTGGCTTTTGAAAGAATGGTGATTGGTCCACGTGGAGGTGTTTCATTGGATGATCAAGATATGGGTCCATATGGAATTCGATGCGTTTCTTTTTCGTTACTTGCATGTTTCTTGGTTTGTTGGGTTGGTGGATTTGGATAAAATTTGAGCTTTGAGTTTTTACTGTGAAATACTGTTTAGGGTGGGTTTGAAAAGTGATTTTTAATGTTTTTTTATTTTATTTTATTTTCTTAAATATATTTATAAATTATTTTTTACTAGAAGTATTCGTGTTTAGGAATGAAAACGAGTAATTTTTATGAATTTTGCCTGCGAATTCTTAATTTTAAACTTAGAAGATATATAATTTTATATTGAGATTTTTTTGTGAAAAATCCCTTCTACAGGACTTTTTTTGTATGAAGCCCACCAAATAAAATAATAGTTTTAAAAGTTCCTCAAATAAAAAAATATGATGAAAATGCTGAAATGCCCTTCTATATAATTCAAAACCCTCGCTCAACCATTTCTTTTCTTTTCTATCTTTACATTACTGGTATCCTCCCTTTTCCCTCTGTTTTCTCTTTTTCTAAGCCCTAAACCCTTTTGATCTCCATTTTTGATCCATCTCACAAAATCAAAATCTTGAAATCGTCCATTGAAATCCATCACCATCTCAGATTTGATGCCTATGAACTCATGTTTGAGATTAATAATTTCAGATTTGAGATAAAATGACTTCATATATATCCAAAAAAATGATAAATTGATATATTACAATAAAAAATCGAGAGTTTTTTGTTTATTTGTTCATAGATCTAAAGTAAAATTCGACTATAATTCATTTATCTAGTATGTACTCTGTTTTCGCAACAGTAAAATTTTACTCTGGTTAATGAAAAATAAAGTTTATTCTCTTATGTATAGACAAACATTCAACAACCCAGTAAAATTTTACTCTGAAGATTCAGAGTAAATTTTATCAAAAAACAAATCAGAAACTGTATAGACAAACATTCAACAATACAGTAAAATTTTACCTTCAATTCAGAGTAAATTTTACTCTGAAATACAGTAAAATTTTACTTGCATGTTAAGAAAACAGAACAGATAATACCAGAGTAAAATTTTACTCTTATTTTATCAAATAAAAACAGAGCACATATCATAGTACAAACCAGAGTAAAATTTTACTTTCATCATGTTAAACAAAAATAGAGCACACACCTGATTGAACTCGGCAAATCAACAAAAACAAATCAAAAATAACAATAGATTTATACAGCTTTGCAACGTAATCTCTCATTTAATTGAGAGTGTTGATCTTGGATGGCGAGATCGTGTATTATTGACCAAGGGTGAAATCGTTGGCGGTGAGATCTTCAGACTTTGAGATCGTTTTCATGGATTTCGCAGATCATCTTCACTTCGCAGATCGTCTTCAAGATCGGTGTATGTATGAGCTGAGATTGTTTAAATATATGATATATATATATATATATATAGATATATATGAGGGCAATATGGTCAAAAAAACAAAAACAAATTATAGAATGTCGTTATTAAGCTGGGCTTCTCTTACTCAAGTGCTTTTTGAAGGAGAATTCATTGAGTTGTACTTTATCTTAAAAAAAAGGCCCAAAAAGGGGGGTTTCACCAAAAATCCCTTTTATATTTTATTATTTGTTTAATGGTAAAATCTTGACTTAATAATCTTGAAGTTATGAATTCAAGTCACGGGGCAATCACTTTGTAATTATGCCAAATGTTAGATATTTATTCAATCTTTTATCTCCTAAACATATATTAATGTATACTAATTTAGCGTTATTATTTTTAATTTCATATTTTATCAAAATTCTGAACCTACCTTCTCCTCTACTTTAACCTATCTTACGAATATTCTTCCAAACTTTTTTTCATTAAAATCAAGTTGCGACAAATATATCGTGTTGGGTAAATTTTTCATCCTAATTCATGTTGCTTACAAGTCTACCACCAATCTATAATTAGGGGTATAATTTTGGCCCGGCATATGTCGAGTCTTGCGAGCTCTTGCAAAAAATCGGGCCAGTCCACGGGCTAAAAAATTAGGCCTAAGGATATTTGGACTTTGGTGGGCCGGGCCTAGGCTTAGGCTTTGGGCAGGCCTAAACAAAATTTTTTAATTTTTTATATTTTTTTCATTAAAAATAACACTGGGCCTCAAGCGGACTAGGCTTTGGAGTTGGCCGATGGGCCGAATCGGGCTTCAAAATGATGGTTCAGGCCCAGATCTAAGGCCTCAGGCTGGACTCAGGCTCGAGTCACGGGCGGGTTTCGGAATGCCCACGGGCGAGTTTCGGGTCGCCCACGGGTCATGAGCCATTTTTACACTCCTATCTATAATCTACCCCCATTTCAATTTTTTTTTTAAAAAAATTCATATTTATGGTCATATTTAGTCTATCTCTTAGGATACATAATTTAGTTTTGATACTCGTAAATGGTCCAATGTATCTCCAAAATCCTAAAATTTATAAGCGTTTGTGATCCTTGATTAGTCTATCATTAGCCCAACTCGAGTTACCTTTAGCAACACCATCAAAATTGAATTTAAGACCGCGTATATAAAATACTAAATACACATGTATATGTATCAATTTACAAATTTTGATTTTTTTTTTCATTAAAAATAAAACCAATTTCACGAGAGCAATTGAGAAAAAATCAAAATGCTCTT